TCTGTCAAGCTCACGGCAGCTCTCACTGAGCACATAATAGATCAGAATGCAGCAAGTCAGGTGGATACCAACGAATTAAACAAGATTCGACGGTCCATTACGACAGAGCGGCAGCACACCCAAAGTGATAAACTGCAACAACTGCTGGAACAAGTGCCAGAGAACGTGAAAATAAAAGTAGCTATAGCCCAGGAGGTGGGCGCCTCAAACTGGTTAACAAAGTTACCGATAAGGGCAAAAGGCTTCATCCTGTATAAACAAGAATTCACAAATGCCATTGCTCTAAGGTACGGTAGGCCAGTAGGTTTGCCCTCCCAATGCGTGTGTGGCTCATCTTATGACGTCGATCACGCCATGGTGTGTAAGAAAAGGGGCATCGTATGCATGAGGCATGACGAGGTAAGGGATCTAACAGCAAATCTACTGAGAGAAATCTGCCACGACGTCATGGTGGAACCGCCCTTCCTTCCATTAGACGGTGAGAACCTCCGTCACAGAACTTCAAACACATCCAACGAAGCCCGTGTGGACGTCAGTGGACAAGGATTCTGGATGCGTGGACAGTGAGCCTTTTTGACCTAAGGATTTTGTATCCCATGGCCGCATGCCACCGCAACCTAGCTCTCGATGCTGCACACAGGAGGAACGAGAACGACAAGATTAAGGCATGTGGGGAGAGAATTCTAAACGTTGATCAAGGCAGCTTCACTCCTCTAGTGTTCACAACCTCTGACGGGATGGGACCAAGTGCAAGATGCTTCTACGCCAGACTCGCAGAGGTTGTTATCTGAACGGAAGCAGCAGCCCAGAAGTTATGTTACAGCCTGGATCAGATGTCGACTGTCCTTCTCTCTCCTTCGGTCTGCATTGCTTTGCCTCAGGGGAACGAGAGCATCGGCCGCAAAGCCGACAACAGTCGCAAATATTGACTTTGAGGCAACAGTCACTGAATACCGCATAAATCTGCGGCTCAACTAACTCAACACAGCTAGGATAGCTTCTTATGTATTAGGATAGCTAATTTTAAGGTAATAAAATGGCGGCGAAGGTGTGGCTATTGGGGGAGGCTGGAGGCCATATTATAAAAAAAAGTAATAATAATAATAATAATAATAATAATAATAATAATAATAATATAATAATAATAATAATAATAATAATAATAATAATAATAATAATAATAATATAATAATAATAATAATAATAACAACAATAATAACAGGCGTATTAGTAAACAAAACTAATCTATTCATCTATCGATCTATCAATCTAATTACAGTCTATGTTAAATAGGATGTACAAGTGGTTTTAAATACTGTAGGTACAGGTAGATAATGTGTGTGTGTGTGTTATCAAGACTAGAGGGACAGAGGCAGCCAGTGAGCGAGATATTCCCTGGGACAAGTTCTTATCTCATACCTGTTAATATAACCACTATCTGAGCCGGTGGTCCCAGAGTTAAGGGGCGTCATTCACCACTTTTTCCGTCAACTTTCCGGGGTTTTTTGTTTTTTCCACCAGTTGTCAATTATTCTTGGGCGTCTCGTTTCCGCCTGATTGACCTGCGCCAATTTCCGTGGTCAAGTTAAGATCTATACTCGATAATGAGGATATTTATATGAAATAAATATCGACACACGTAAAATAACTACATTTAATTTTAAAAATATATAGTATCGCATTTTTAATAAATTGCTTAAGTAACTCAAGTCAGATTATAAGAGAGTTTCAGTGTCGATGGTACGCTATTTTAGTAGACAAAGAGACACTAACAGAGACAGAAGTGGAGAGAAAGAGACAGAAGTGGAGAGAAAGAGACAGAAGTGGAGAGAAAGAGACAGAAAGACACACTAGAGCGACAGTAATAACAATGAAGGTATTTGTGTGGTGGTCCGGCCAACAGCAGGTGAGGAGGCCCCTGTGTTAGGTGTTGTCTCAGGAAATACACTATACAGAGTAAGAGGGAGGGAAGAAGAGGAGTAAGAGGAAGGGGAAGAGGAGTAAGAGGAAGAGAAGAAGAGTAATGGAAAAGAGATAAAGAGGCGAGAGGAAGAAGGAAGATGGCTCTCTCTTCTTGTGTATGTATATAATGCTTGCAGAGGTGTACGTACTGGTTTAGCTATACATGTGTGCGTGTTTACATGTTTATCCAGTTTTAATAGAGTCAGTACCTACCCAGTATACCTGCCCAGTACCTACCCAGTATACCTGCCCAGTACCTACCCAGTATACCTGCCCAGTACTTACCCAGTATACCTGCCCAGTACCTACCCAGTATACCTGCCCAGTACTTACCCAGTATACCTGCCCAGTACCTACCCAGTATACCTGCCCAGTATACCTGCCCAGTACCTACCCAGTATACCTGCCCAGTACCTACCCAGTATACCCGCCGACGATAAAAAAGAGTGAGGTGAAAAGTGACGCGTAGGATTAATGATAAAATAATAATAATGTGTTACGACTTTATAACTTTTTCCTGCCGTAGTGGCCGCTTATACGGTATAGGCACTGATCTGGCTCTTAACATTCACTTTAGAACAAACCATGCTAACCTAACCTAATATAACATATAGCGTGACCGAACCTAACCTAACATATACAGTGTACAGGGAAAGAATCTTATATCCTATACTCCAGCTGTGAAATAAACTGGGAATCATTGGCTTGCTAGGCGAACTGTCTCTCCATCCAAATCCACAGTAGCCGTGAGCGCTGTAGATATTACACACACATACTGTACACACACAAGACCTTCCCTTAATAAAGCATTCACCAGGGCTTTGCTGTATACCCACGTTCCCTCAGGATTCTCTACAGCCCGTAATATAATTTTCCACGTAAATGGGACACAAAATCTAGCATATTTAGACCAAGTTGCAGATATGGGAAACATCTTGTCAAAGCTGCCCTGAGACGGTAATATGTTGTCTCGGCTCTGGTCCTACAGTACAGTACGTGGTCGGTCTCTCGTCCCTCGTTAAAAATATATAAAATTATAATATTACGAACCTTTGGGAGTTTGAGCCTGCACCAGCGGCCCTCAATACCTTGAATGGCCGCAGCCAGCCACAGTCAAGCCAGAGTTGATGGTTAATGTTTAGGGTAAAGAATATACGTTTTTAGTAACTCGTTTTTGCAGGAAGTTTTCAACAACTCAAATTCAACGGTTTTTATTTTTTCAGAGAGTAGACTTTCCTCTCCCAAATCTATAGAACTTCTACATATCATTCCGTGTTTTGATTCAATATATAATTACAGTACGTAATTAACTAATATTTACTTCAGTAAATGTATGTTTAGCCATACAGTATATTTCAACTTATAATTTTCATAAACTAAACGAAGTAACACTGTACATATCTATAGTTTAATTAATTTACACACAAAAAAAGAATTAGACAGAAACAACAAGCAATGAAGACGGGAATAAAAATTAAAACTATAAATATAGGGTATTGGTGAGGTAAACTGTACTGTACTAACGACCCCTTAGCAGCGTCTGCCAGTACTGTATGTAACTCATTAATCAGTGAGTGCTTATCATTATCTTAGCCTCTACACTCCAACAAAGAAACACATCACATACAGTACATATGTCAGTATTTTTTTTTCAGGTAATTTCCAACGCACGTAAATACATTTGAAATTTTATAGGATCTACCGGTATCTGTAGGTGGACGCAAATGTTTCGTATTCTCAATGTATACCTTCAGTCTGCTTTAGGAGGGACTACACACTCCCACCTGAGTACTTTCAAGTTACAGTCGAGCAATTTGTTAAAGATGTGTTTAAACTGGGAATGGAGACGAACACTTTGAAGCTTTATTCATGACTCTCACCCGTACAGGAAAGAGAACCTTCAAGCTCAAGGTTATAGGCGAGCTACATATCCTGTAGATGGATTCACTGCAGCTGTACAAATCCGATAACCCGAGACTGCATGGGTACAAACTCTTCCCTCAGTAAGAAATTGTGTAGTTGAACAGAAATGAAAGAAAAATACTTTAATACTCTTTGTGGGTTCTGGTCTAACTACAGAGAGAGGAAGAAATATTATGTTGTGTGGCTGGGCATTGGATAAAGAGCACTCAAGACTCTCGCCTCGAACTCTCTGTCAATGGGGACGTAATTTCTCGATTGGAAGGGTGAGGCCGTCGTGTGCAGTGCCAGCCTTGTGTGCTGGAGGCTTACTATTTTAGAAAGTTATTTTATAGCCGCTCGGGCTGTTGGAACTCCTAAGCGCTTACGAAATGTAACCCGTTGGTAAACCCAAAAGTCAACCAGAGTACCTGGGGAAAATCTGCCATATTTGGTAGGACTCACACTGTATAGCACCCTTCTCATAATCTTTCCTGTACCGGGGTGGAACCCAGGACATAATGTACCACCAACATCCCATATAACATAATTATACCTTATTTTAGCTATCGTTGTTACGTTATTAAAGACGTGGTTGAATCAACTGAGAATTTTTTACTTACTTTTTGCTTTTATCCTCTTCACCACTGATCAGCTCGTTAGCCTCTTGGGTGATTGGTCACGTCTCTGTCACGGACTGTTGGCAAGTACTGGGCATGTACCGGCTCCTGAACCTGCTCCAGTGTTGGTCAAGTCTGGTCTTGAAAGAGCTCACACTCGGTGCCGTCACAACACTCTCTGGTAGATTGTTCCAAGAGTTCACAACTACTGTGGAAAAGACCCACCTGTTGCAATAAATCTAAACACATTGTTGTGCTTGTCACAGTTACATTGACAAATAAATCAATGTTTTGTTTAATGGAAGACTCTGCTGCCAATGATTGAAAATAAGCTTTTAACGACTTTCCTTGGATATCCTTTGATAAATGAACTATACCTATGCCTGTGTTCCTGCATTGTCTTTGTATGTGTATATGGAGAGCCAAGGTGATCTTCTAAGACAATGTCAGTGACTAACACCTCTGGACATGGGTGCTACCATCGTCACCCATGAAGTGCCTCAAGTTCTCTGTGGAGGACCGTAAACACACCTGTTGAGTGTTGCAGGTTAAAGACCTTAGGAGGTGAAGCACAAGCCTGCATTTTAATGTAAAGTATGTAATGTTGATCAATATATCTAGTGACACACCCACAGGCGATTGTATTAGACGGATTATTCACTTATATGGTAATGCATGGTGCTTGTAGAGTGACATAATGGCCACATAATTAGGTGCTGTAAGCAGGTGTCTTAATATCATGTACCTTATACTGTACAGGTAAGTGACATTACTTCACTCACTCTATTATGTTCGGTGTTTAATATCACAATGTTTTATACCAAATTTAAAGGTAACAATAACAAGAAGTTAAATATCTGCTTAAAGGTGTTTGTATTTAAACAAGGTATCATGTTCCTGTATTTGTAAATATTTAAAAGTATTGTCAGATAAGTTTTTGTAAACATCTTTATGTAAATGAAAGAAATTTTGATAATATTTTAATGCTATAAATAATCATATTGAAATTGATACAACATTCTCTGGCAGATTGTTGGTATTATTTTAGTTTTGGTTATCCGGGGAATATTAGGGGTCCCCTCCCCAGTTAGGTTAGATATAGTTAGGTTAGGTTAAGTTAGGTTAGTTTGGATAACTAAATACAGAGATGACCGAAGCTTTAATTTTACCACTAATTTGAGTAAGATGATACTCTAGGACAGGGTTACAGGTTAACCAACAAGTATACAGTACAAATGTTCCTAGTCTTGATGTTAAGGTACAGTAGTATATTATGCTCTACAGTTCTGTATATTTGACAAGAATGGTCCAGCCACGGTACAATGAATTACCCAAAAGTACCCAAAAGTATATTAAATCAGGGTAAAATCTTAACGAATATATGTTTTACATCAATAAAACCTGATTAATAATGTTTTCATTGAAATGTAGTCAAAATAATGAAATAATAAACAGCGAAAAATGCTAAATTCCTAAGAGGCGCCTATCCAAAATGGAGATATAATTACCAATGTTTCTGTTACTTTGGATATTTAACATAGCCGTAGGATTTACTTTTCGTTAGGTTAGGTTAGGTTAGCGAAGTGCATCACGATGGATCTGAGTTATCTCCCTTGTTCACGAACTCTTTGGAATTTAGCGTTCGCGAATACTGAAAGTTTTTCGCTGTTTATTATTTCATCTTACAAATTATTTTTACAAAATTACACTAAAAATATTATTAAACATGTTTTGTGTATGTATAACAGATATTCGTTAAGATTTTACCCTTATTTGCTATACTTTTAGGTACTTTTGGGTAATTCGTGGCTCCTGTCCAGCCATAGGAGCAGCCTGGGAAAATTTAGCCAATAAAATATGAAAGCTTTCTTACCTCAAGAAACATACAAAAAATGCAGGAGAAATGCATTTTTTGTTGTTTAATTTTTGTGACTTGCATTTTCCGTTTGCAGAGTTCCCACCCCCATCCACCAAATTGACTTTTCAATTGCTACAACCAATAAGTTTATTGTTCGTAAAATAAAGAAAATTTGCCCACTAGACTTAACCTAACCTATAGTACTATACTGTAGCTATTTTCTATTTCATATTTTAAAATATAATAAAATTCCTCTCTGCAAAAATAACCATCTCTAGTATAGTCAAAACACGGTGCTCATGGCAAGGTTCTGTTTTGCCATCTTCCTCTGCCCATTTTGCACATCAAAACTAATATATTGCAAAACCCATTCCTCCCTCATCCTTTGTACTTTTTTCAAGGTAAGGAAGCCTTTATCATCTTTGGAAAAATTTCAAAGGTTGCTGCTGACGTGGATCCACTTTCGGCAAGTAATATGTAAATAAATAAACTACATTGTCCCAGTAATGTGATAAAAATAATAATAATAATAATTAACGGTTTATTGAAAGAGCATGGCAACCAGAAGGCTGAAAACATACAGCTACATAATTGGGGAATGGGTCTCTTGATTTACAAATAATATACAAGTAACATAAGTGATACAAATATGATATATAAAGATTAGGTGGGGAGAAGCTCAAACTACAGGGCATTTTAACATAGTGATAGTGCATAAAGTAAGATTGACTGGGAGTGAATGCACTGGTTGATTACAAGTTATTGATAATTTTTGCAATGGTTGGGACTGGGCTGTTCTTCTAGCAATCAGTTCGTGCTCATATGGGCTAGATGCGGTTGTGGTGTCGAACAGCAATTCTTGGACGAGGGATCTCGGGTGGTAGTAGGAGCCGGTGTCGAGGATGGTGCAGAAGCTTCTCACCAAATTTGCAGATGAGGTCTTGGTGATGGTCAGAAAGAGCCGAGAGGGTCACTGATATTGAGTGTTTACAAGAGTGCGGAATGTTTCATAGACATGGTACATCCCAGAGTGCTAAGAGAGTTGTGCAACGAGCTTGCCGAGCCCCTGAAGATCCTGTTTTGTAAATTCCTGGATGAACAAAAGGTCCCCAGTGAATGGAAAGTGGATTATGTGAGTCCTATCTTCAAGAAGGGCGATCGTCACTCCACGAACAACTATAGACCGATGAGCCTGACCAGCACAATATGTAAAGTACTTGAGAGTATTATCAGAGATGCCGCAATGGAACATCTACTACGAAACAACCTTGTAAAGGATTGCCAACACTGTTTTATGCCGGGGCGCTCCTGCTTAACACAATTGCTCAAGGTATTGGATATTTGGACCCATATTCTGGAACAGGGTGGTAATATCGACAATATTTACCTACATTTTGCCAAGGCTTTCGACAGTGTACCCCACGAAAGGCTGAAAATCAAACTGGAAGGGTACGGAATTTGGGGAAATGTCCGAGTGTGGATAGAAGACTTTCTACATGACCGCAAGCAGTGTGTGGTGATTAATGGCACGAAATCATCATCCGTACCTGTCACAAGCGGGTACCACAGTGCAGTGTATTGGGCCCACTGTTGTTTGTTTGTTTCATAAATGACGTGCCTGACGTACACTCCTCCATACAAATGTTTGCCGATGACGCCAAGTTATTTCGGGAAATTAGGTACCAAGCAGATTGTAAAGAGCTGCAGATGGATCTCTTTGAGCTTCAAAACTGGTTGAAGAAATGGCTTCTAAGATTCAATGTCGCGAAGTGTAAAAGGCTGCACCTGGGACGTACCAATGGGAAGGAGGTGTATCATATGTCCCAATGGGACGAAGTAACTGCTTCAATTGAGACTGAATGTGAAAAGAACCTAGGTGTGTATGTTGACAATGAGCTGTAGTTTTCAGGCCATTGTGAGAAGAAGGTAAATCAGGCAACTAAATTATTAGGTCTTATAAGAAAGTCGTTCAGATGTCTAGACGGTCCGACCCTTTTGACGATCTTCAAGAGTGAAGTGCTTCCCTGTCTGGAGTACTGTCACCCCGTCTGATCCCCAAGATATGCTATGGACTGTCAGTTGATTGAAAATGTTCAAAGGAGGGCCGCCAGACTATTGCCTGCACTACGGCACCTCAGCTACCCTGAGAGATTAAGGCACCTGAAATTGCCTAGCTTATACTACAGACGGGTAAGGAGCGACCTAATTGAGGTGTATAAGCATCTCAAAGGGCACTACTCAATCGAGTGCCCTTACCTGGAGCTGGCGGACGCTCGTCCCACAAGGGGTCACAGCAAAAGGTTGAAGAAGCCGCAAGTCAAGAAAACTGTGAGGGGTAACTTTTTCGGAGTGAGAATTGTGAACTCTTGGAACAATCTGCCAGAGAGTGTTGTGATGGCACCGAGTGTGAGCTCTTTCAAGACTAGACTTGATAAGCACTGGAGCAGGTTCAGATACATTCAGGAGCTGGGGGGAGGGGGGGGCAAGTCTTGACCTAGAGCCATCACCACCAGACCTTGACCATCACAGTAATTATTGATGGAGGAGTACAGTACTGTACAGTATTTGGATCAGATGAAGAAAATAAATAAATGTAATGATGTTCCCACTGTACAAGTGGGTTGGTGATTGAAAAGGCAGCCAGCTGTAAAACTTGCTTGAAATTTGTGTGAAAGCAACTGGGACACCATGCCATCTGGTGAACACAAGTAGCACATATACAGCTCCTCCCCGACTTACGACAGGGTTAGGGACCTAAATCCAGGTCGTAAGTCGAAATGGTCGTAAGTCGAAAATGCTTATGTAAATATAAATGATACATAGAAAATCTATAATGGGTGTCTATTTTTCTTCTCAGCACAACAAAACTCTCACCTTTAAGCTTGCCAGCCATTTTAAAGTGAATTACAAACGAAAATTTTGTCAGTACACAGCGCAATCACTAACGTTGGGACTTGAAAATACGTAATTTGACAAAATTTTGGTACGACTGAGGCGGTCGTATGTCTGGGTGGTCGTAAGTCGAGTAGGTCGTAAGTCGGGGAGGAGCTGTATAAAGTATGGAAAATGGCTGTAAAACAGTGATTATGATGATCATCATCATCATAGGACACATTTGGCAGTTTGCCAAAATTTATAAAGTCAGTGATTGAACTTTACTGTATTGTACAGTATACTGTACTGTATCTGTGAGCAAAAAGATACCACTGAACAGCTCTGTGGGTTTTCCTGCCACAATCATAGTTCACTAGTATTTTGTTTAATTAGTCAAATTGCCAAGAGCATCCGACCTACATGCCAATTCTTAAATAGATTTGAAGTAATTTTTTGCACTTAAGATTGTTAGATTAGCTTAGGTTTGTATGAATTTAGTCTTCTGCCATAGGTGACATAATTCTGCTTTCACACAGATCACCAAATGTCAAAATATCTCAATATTGCTACAGTACAGTGTTTGCATACTTAATTTTGTGCAAAGATATACAGGTCTAATGTTTGCAATCCTGCACTGTAGGAGGAATCCAAATTAGATAAGTACAGTAATTATAACTCGTAGTTTAACTGAATCTTTCCCAAATTATATTCTTACATGGAATTCTGTGCATTACAGTACTGTACAGAGATTACAATAGTTTTATCCTTGTATGTAATGTTGCTAATTCTGTGACTCCTTTTTCCATCTGATGAAGACTAATATTACAGGGTTGTTGGTTGCAGTAATTGATGGTAATGAGCTTCATATAAGGTTCATACTGCCACAATGGAGCCAGCTGATGACTATGATTCCAATAGTGAGAGTTATTCTGCAGAATCTTCAAGGCAGTCAGAAGAATCCTCAGATGAGTAAGTCAATGCAAATCAAGATTTGTCATGGCAAGGTTGTCTTAGCAATTTTTAATGATGTCTTACAAAACTAAACTGGGAATTTGTAGTATAATCTTCCATATTTTTAAGTATAATTCAAAAGCACTATAACAAATACCAAATATTGTACATAGGTATGAAGATGCAGAGTGGCTGAAACATGTTGAGAATGATGGCTCACTCCTCTATGTGGAGTCTTATGTTTCAAGTACAGTCAGAGAAAAACAAGTGCAAGCTCTTAAAGCATCTGGAGCAATTGAAAAGAAGCCAGCTGTCTTATCCCCAACAAAAGAAATAAAGAAGAAAAGTAAGTGAAGTTTGATATTTTATTTCAATCAATTATTGACTGTATCGTCTCTCTCTTATGCTCTTGATTAATGTGTTTACCTTTATGTGAGCATGTAAAATACTTCTCAAAGATTTGTTACCGTGCTTACCATCTTCACCTCATAAGCTCTATTGCAACACTAAATATAATCTAAAATATTGCACTTTATTATTTAGTTATCACATTAATGAAAAACTATACACTGCCATATTGGCCGAAGGTATGCAGGTAGTCTTTGATGACCTCAGAGAGTTGCAACCCCAGGTAGTCTTTGATGACCTCAGAGAGTTGCAACCCTTCTTGCCAGGTAGGAGAGCACTTGGAAGTGCTACACAATGCCCAGTTCCTACTCTGCTTAAGTGGGTGGGTGACAGGAAGAGCACTCAGCTGTAAAACTTTCTTCAAATTTACCTGATGGCAATCAGGACACCATGCTATCAGGTACCTGTACTGGGGGAAAAGGGCCATAAAATGATGATGATGAAGATGTTGATGACATATGGTAAGAAAGATTGTAGGAAGGATGTACTGTAGTTGATTCATCAGCTATACATATACTGTACAAGTCTAAAAGGAAGAAGACAAAAGCAGAAAAAGATAACATACAAGTGGATGGGAATAATTAACATTGGAGAAATAAGGAAGTAGAAGTCCATAAAAGGATAATTTGGATTGGGAGAATATGCAGCACATCACCACCATAGTGAATGCTGTCATGAGAATTTTGAGACACACTCATTTATTGTTCCCTTGGACCATGGTAGTTCTTGCATGGGCCACCGAAGTGAAAATGCAGTGAATATGTGTCATATGTGTCAGAAAATACCCATCCATCACTGTGTCAATACTGTACTGTGCCAAATGATTTATTTTGTATACAGTTAGTACATGGTGTAGATATTTTGCCTAATGCATTTTTTACATCTCTTAACCCAATGATACGGTTTCTTGATTTACTGATATTCCTTATTATTCATGACCTGTAGTGATGTTTGGCAAAAATGCATTTTATTTCTTAAGATGGTATTACAGTACATATATTCATTATAATCTGTTCTTTGCTTCACAGACAAACTTCTAAGATTACTGAAACGTAGACCAAGTGTAAGAGTTAAGGGCACATCACGAGTTGGTTTTGGGGGAGAAGGAGGAGCAAAAGGTGGGTCAGATTTGGCCTCCCCTCCTAAAGTGACCTTCAGGGATAACCCAAGTGGAGAAGTGAGGAAAGTTAATCTTCAGGTGAGTGAGGCTTTATGTAACTTGCTGTCTTAGATGAAACCAATTGATTAATGAATTTATAATGAGATCAAACTTTAATGAATGAAAGACAAATTTGTCCTCTGCAATTCTATTATTTATTGACTGAGATAAATCAGGATCAGTATACTGTATCAATTTTACAAGCTTTTTATATATTTAAGTCATCTCAGTGGACTTAAATTTTTGAGACATGATTAAAGTACAATACATAAAGCCATTAGAATTTTCAGTACAGGTATAGTGTATGGGCCCTTGACAAAGTTATGTGCAGCACAAAGATTTAATATTTTTTTTTATAATGAGTACTACAGTGTGTTGTACAGAGATTTATGGGATTTATATAAAATGTATTTGTACTGTGACTCCACAATTTTTATGATAATAATTGAGAATAATATCAGAACATAAAAAATTTGGAAGTTGTGTTAACACAAATATTCTCAAATGTTTAAGCTGTATTTGACTGCCTACATTTTAGTTCACAGCATCCTTACTGTAAGTGCTTGGTTATGAAGCTTTTTACATTTTTGGGAGTTTGTAAAATATCATCACCTACCAAAGCCTATGTTGTTGTGTATACTGTACTGTATTAAAAATTATCATCACATCTTACAGTAAATAATTCATACCCTGTACCTAAAGTTTTGGAATATAAAGAAATATTTAATGAACTTTTACCTATTCACTGCCTAGAGATATTTTCATCACTTATATAGTGCATTTATCTGTACCCACAGGCCATAACAATATAAATCTGGAAAGTTAATTAGTACTATAGTAATAATTGTCACTCATGAAGGCAAATAGAGTATATACTGTACAGTGCAGTCACTCTCACTCCTTTTATTGTGGGTTACAGGTTTATGAGGGTGGCAACAACCTGGGGAGACGGGCAAGTCTGTGTGAGACGGTTCTTGGTGTTGTGCCGGGCCGCTTCAGTGAACCTCCAGATTCACGAGTTATGGTTGCTGGCCTTGTGCCTGGCTCACAAGCACTAAGGAATGGAGTCATAAAGATTGGTAAGCAGAAGAATGAGAATTGCAGTATATTTAAGATTGCAACAAGTAGTCATTGATTACCTTAGGGATTAGTGACTCAGACTTGCCAGATAAGAGGACATTTTGAAGTCCTACATTTAATGCCAAGTTACCACTCTGTAAAAGTGGGTCCCAACCCAGCTGGAAAACTGGACTCCAATTTCCCTGAGGGCAACCAGAGCACCATGCCAGCTGGTGATCATAGCTAACCCACTCAAGTCTGGGAAAAGTGCCATAAATCGATGATGATGAAGAACAGTGTTATTCTACCTTTGTTCAGATACTTACATTAAGATTCCTGTTATGACAATTCTTATATTTTTGGCACAGGAGACAAAGCTTTAAAAGACATGGCATGTGCTTTGTGATACAACGCAAGGAAGTTGGGAGTCCCTATCACTACCCATGCATGGCGGTACCGATAGTTCTATTCTTTTATTAAAAATTATAAACAAGCAATGGTTACCAGGGTACCTTTACTTGCAATGTGCCCTAGCAGCAAAATGGAATTGCTGCAAACACTTTTTGGCAAATATTCCTCCTGTGTGTTCCTGGCATGGGCTTAAACTTACAAGGCCAGTAGTTGGAATTCAAGTCTGATTGAAATTAACTTATGTCTTTGTATGGCTCAAATCATTAACATTAAAATTACAGTGGTCCCTCGGTTAACAAACGCCTCGGTTAACGAATTACCTTCCATAAGAATATTCAATTTGGTTAACGAACAAAAATTCGGTTAACGAAATTCTTACGAAAACATGTCAACATGTTTTCGCTTGCTCACCAGCTGGTAGATTAGTCCGCCAATACAGTAATCGGTTCTAGGGCTTAAATTCGTTCCCATTTGAGTAAATATCAAGAAGGTTGTGCTATTAAATATTTTTACAAGTTTTATATTAAAATTATTAGTCATTTTAACACTTATTTAACATAATTGCAGTACAGGAAACTAGTTTTTGGTGCGCCCATCAGCCACTTCACTCACCCACCAAGACGTCAGTTTGTGTCTCTGTTCAGTGGAGGTAACATCTTGCTTGTGGGTCTCTTGAACATAAACTATTTTTACATTTTTACAGTACAAATATTGGTCATTCTGTAATTTACTTAACATATTGACAATATATAATGCAGTGCAGTGTTGATTTAAAGAAAATAATCTTGAATTACACCCGGTGAACTTCAAATTTTATTGGTGAAATGATGGCATCAATCAAGGGGTGATTTCTCTTCCATCCCTACTTCTTTCTCTTCTCCCTTCTCCTCCTCCACCTCCTACTTCAAATTCACATATGCATCATCAACCAGGAGCCTGCTACATACACACCTCAAAGTAAGTGTACTTTACTGCATTTTTTTTTTTACTTTGTATGTACTTTTCGGTGAGCTGGAACCAATTACCCAATATCCCATTGAAACAATGGTTTCAGTTAACGAAAGACCCTCTGGAACGAATTGAGTTTGTTAACCGAGGGACCACTATATGAGCATATGGGGGACCACTGTGAAAGCATTTCCACAGGAAATAGAAAAGTAGTAAATAAAAAATTACGTTTCCATTAAAATTATTCTAATTTGAAAATCAGGAGTAACAGAAAAATAGGAAATGAAAGTAAACTGAGATATTATTTAAAAGCCCACATAAGGCTGTTTGTGACAGACTAAACAATAAAGATACTGTTTAATGTTGGCTGAAGAAAGAAGTGTCAAGGAAGTTAATTCTTATGGTTGTTGCTACTCTTCTGTACTGTGTTTACATGAGTTAGGCAGACTACCAGGTGCTTGTTTTACTTGAAGATGTTTTAATACTTAACTGCCTCTACTCTGTCTGTGACCACAGGTGACTGGTTGAAGGAGGTGGATGAAACTGACGTCACATGGGATAATCTGGATGATATATTGGCAGAGCTACAGGTGAGCTAATTTTTTAACATCTCCCTTTATGTATACAGTAGACAGTACATACATTATTTTCCTGATTTACAAAAGGGTTCCATTGCTGAAAAACTTCTGTAAGTTCCTCTAAAAATGCTTCCCCAAAAGTCTTTATTAAGTGCCACAAAATATTTATTTAATGAAAATTTTGGTGTACACATTGATTGTAAACATATTTATGGTAAATGAAATACGGTAAATGCCATCCAGTAAAGTAAGATCTCATATTTCGCTTTTTTGAATTTCGCGAGCACTACCTAATGTAACCAAGTCTTATATTTGGCATAAAATATCGGGAATTTCGCAAGATCCAGCAAGCTGAACGCGAGATCCAGCAAGCTGAATGCTGGCCGCCGTCTTGAATGATGTCACAGCCCTCATACCAGTTACAGTCATTTTTGCTACACGTGTTTTGTCAATGCGAATTGGTTGCAATGTGATTGATGAATAGGGGAATGCTATTTGTAAAATGCGAAATTTTGCATAGGAATGCTGGCTATAACACGATTCCATCCTCAACGTTTTAAGTGTGGCACGGCGCGAGGTTATGCAATGTCTACAGTTCACTTTCGACATCACATCTTCAATTGATTCGTGTCTTTTGTTTGTGAAGTGTTTTTTGAGAGGTACTCTGTAATTTTTTTATTTATTATTTTTTTTTTTTTTTTGCAAATTTAACTGTTACCCATAAATACTGTATGAAAAGAATAAGTAAAAAGGATGTTTCGCAGTGAGGACTAATAACGGTTTACACCAGCGCTCTCTGTTTACATCACGTGATCAGTTGAATCGCGAGGTTTCTGTTAATTGCTCCATGATTTTCGCTGTTTTCTCCAATTTTGTTGTGTTAGTGATGGATATGGAAAGACAAGGTAAGAAGAATGTCTCCAAGAAGCGTTCTGGTGATGGAATTGCCGGTGGTGAACGTAAAAGAAGTTTACAAGAACGCAACTATCGTGTTGTAGCCCGTGCCATCCTACCGACCGCCCGGGCTGCTACTGTGTGCTTTTTTGGGTGGTGCTGCCACCTGTTGAGTCAAGATAATGGCCTCTACCTCTACTGGGGTCCTATTGGTGTTGGTGGGGGTGGGACAGACTCACCTAAGCAGCCAAATAAGGAAAAGGAGAAGCGGGACTATCATAAGGGAGTTAAGTTTGCCAAGTACTTGATGCAGGATAAGCAGCGTGTGATTAAGTTACTTGAGGAAGGCCTAAAAACTAGTTTCCGGAAAGCACAATCAGGTCAATAAAGGCAGAATTTGTATCATTTGGACGTTATAAATGGGAAAATCAGAGGTTGATGTAGAGTGGCCAGTCTATATTGTTATTTTTCCCATTAGTTTATTATTTGCATTTGGCGAATTTGAATTTGGTGCAATTTTTCCAGTCTATATTACTCGCGAAATACAAGATCTTACTGTACAGTAATGATTTTATAGCTGTACGTACGAAAACTGGTTAGACTTGAAACAAAGTGAACTTTATAAAATGCTAATCCAACATCTATAATAAATATATTTCTGAAGTAATACTGTACGTTGATTTCCATTCTATAATTAGAGATGCTTGTCTGAAAAAACGCTTGACCCCTGAGGAGTTATTGCATCATCCTAAACTCCCGTTGCTTTGTTTACATGGTACGAACACTCCCGTCGGTCAGCTAACGCTACACTTATCCTCTCTCATGCATTACAAACAATATCTACATCTCCAAATATTTGTTAACTTCCAAATTCCACATTTTCTCTTACAACTCTACACCATTATTGTATACAGATTACAGATTAATTTTATTTTGCATACAGTACAGTATTTAATTTACCACATACCTGTATTACATGAGAGTAAATGAGGAGAAATTGGACAATCAGGCAACTGGCTGAGTGACTGTGCTGGTGGAGATGAGTCTATGTGTCCTCAGTCAGTTTGAGGAGTAAGTTATAAGACAATGGCGACACATAGAAAGTTTATTTATAGACTTCCGGCAGTGATGAAATGCAAGAGGTGGATAATAATGAAGTAAGTTAGTAAAATGAGGAAGCATATGGGCAGAAAAAAAATGTTATTTTAGTATATTTTCATTACAGTCAACCCTCACTTTACGCGGTTAATTCAACCCACAGCGGCCCGCATAAAGTGAGAAACGCGTAAAGTGAACAACATAACATATGGGATTAATTGAAATTGAGACCGGGCCGACCCCCAAACTCCACTTTTTCCCGACACAATACGTACGTTTTACTAAAAATAACATCTTAACTTTATGATGGTATTCACCCACACATAATATAGAAAGGAACAGTCAATAAACTGAAGGTTAGGTTAGAAACATTGGTGGTGATGAAGCTAGTGCTGACACATACAAATAAATTATATGTGTACTTTATATGTTTATAAATGTGCTGACTTTAATCAAAGGCCAGTACAGTAAAGGGTATTTATGATAAATTTTACGAAATATTGATGATTATTAAACAGATGCCATTAACTAAAACAAATCTTTGAAATAGCCTGTATATATGTTAATGCTGAAGATTAATTCATTGTACTACTGTATTTAATTTTAAGTTTAATAAAATTGTTTTCTTACAGATTCCCTCAACAATTACTTTGTCCGTCCAAAAATGTGCCTCAGAGACCCTCCCAGAGGAGTTCGAGAGTGATCACAAGGTAATTCCTCTTAATTTTCAATATGTAGGTTTGGCTGATCATGACATATTAATCTTGACAGTTTTTCATGAAAATTAGGAAGGCCAGACATTTTTTGTTTTATATTTTATGGACCCACTAACAAATTTTAAAGAAATAAAATAAAATTTTTATTTTGGTATTAAATTTAAATAAATATTATTGATGACAGTTCTTGTTTAAAGTATATATCTATTCAAGCCCAAAGCTGCACAATAGTAGGTGAATTAATATTTAAATACTGTGCAGGTTTCCCTGGAGATACGAATGGGTTAGGTTCCAATAAAAACATTCGTGAGGTGAATAGTCTTATCATGAAAAGGAAAACATAACAAAAGACGCAGGCTGGAGGGAGGGGGGGTTTGTTTTGACACAGTGGGTGTAAATATGTCTCTGTGCATCTCTTCCAGAAGGCCACTCAAGCTGACTCCCACGGGTGCGCGATTTGAATTTTTGCTCGGAATAAAACTTGTATAAACAAGGGTAGCTTTTGGTGAATAAGAAAAAGGGTGTTAAATTATCATATCTCGAACGTTCATAAAGCGAGGGATGCTGATATTTTGAGGGATAATAACTTTAAAGTTTTATATTTAGATATTTTTCCTGGATATCATTCATGGTACTGAAAAATTTTCTTTGGAAATTAAATTATCTTTATTGTATTAAATTTTTTTGTCCTTTCCTTCTGGCATCATCTGTTGTATGGTTAAGTGGGCAGTGTAGAAAAGGCTCATATAGTCTAGGTTGTTTTATCATATTATGTCAAACTATTAGATATAGATCCTGACAGTAGAAAATTAAGGATTTGTTATGCACCTATTTGCTTATTTCAGCAGGATCCTTACTCATTGCAGAGCTTGTGTGAAGAATTCTATGATAGGTATTCAGGTTTAGCCACTGCACATCTGGAACCAAATGTGAGGGAAAGATTTTGCATCATATTTTATTACAACTCCTAGATAAGTTGAGGATTACTCATTTATTCTTCCCTTCACAGAGAGTAACACAGACTCAACTAGTGAAGGTGGTAACAGGTGTAGAGGTAACCAATCCAGACACAAACTACCTGCAGCAGTTGCCCCACACCCTCCTCTACCTCAGCCTTGTGGGTGTTACTGAGGATTCCCCCGATGGTGCTGACATAAGGTTAGTACACCACCACATTAATGTTCTTACATTTTTCCAATATTTGAAGAAAACATTAGTAAAGAGCCCTATGGATGCTTTCTTTCTGAAGTCACATTGGCCAAAGTTATTAATAAGACATTTTTATCATGGGCTACATCAATCTTGACTTGTTTTAATTCTTTATGAACTGTAATACTTACTATATTCATAACCATACTGTTGGACAATATACTGTATAGTTAACCATATCAAAATGTTTTGTGACAAAGCACCATATATTGCAAGTAATGTAAAACATTCCCATTCTTATCCCCTTGGGTACCTAGGTAATTTGTTCTGAATAAGATTGTCTGGTGTTATCCTAATAAAATATTAAAAGTGACATCTAGTAGTGAAGGGGTTATATTACCTTTTGTGTTAGCTGCACAGTTTCTTCCAAAAGATGTTAATATCTTTTCATTTTCTGCATCTCATATTTTTTTTTCATTTGTGTATAGTACTTAAAATAAGCAAATATATTTTATAGGTACCAGTTTCCAAATTGGAGTAACAAGTTAGTGAAGGTACGAGGAATGTTCATCACTACCGCTCATACCGTGCAGGAGGTGGTTGGTGCTCCAGCGCTGTGGTGAGTTCACTGCGATAAGTCAATATGTACTACATTTGGTATAGCATGGAAAGCTCACAATATTATTTCTAGCTTGCCACACTTGGCCAGGTGGCATCTATTATTATGCTCACCAGTTTTTTGGTTTTGTGCGTTAACAAGAGCCAACTGGGTATGGACTGTGGTAGAACATTGTGTTTCAGCATCAATCCTCCATTTTTTATTCATCTATTAACTTCATATTATCTTTCACCTGTACGCACTCCTTTAAACTTCCATTGATCTTACCACAGTTGTATTTTGTTTCCAGCTCCACTGTGTGTCTAGATGGGGAGTACTATCATGTTGCTTATGTTAGAGAGAACAATGATGTTTTTCTCCTGGCACTGCCACACACTTAGTAAGTATCATTATAATTTAAGGAAAACGTTTGTACAATAATTACAAAAATCAAAGGAAAATAAGTAATTGTTATAAGCTGTGCTATCGAGGAACAAATTGTATGTTTAGAGGCAAGGGAAGAGGACATGACACATTAGCTAAAGGGGAGAACATTTATTTAATGTCCATTATCAGTCAGGAAAATAATTTATACAGCTGACTTAAGTAGATAAACCAGACTAAAGTACGTATTAAAGTAATTTGTGTAGGTTGTTTGAAGAGCCTTAAATGAATGGATCAAATGTGACCATGTCAATTTTATTTTTGTTGCAGTGTGTCCAGTCATGATATTGTTGCATTGATGGACCAGATTGCCAGCCTAATTAAGTTTGAATTTGAAACACTATCCAAGTAAGTTCCTGATTATACTGCCAGTTAAGTTATTGTAGCTCTAGTGGATATGGAATTTGACTTAGAATGCTTTTTACTGTAATAATAATAATAATAATAATAACAATAACAACACAGTTCCTTCACTTGTATATTACACTTGTTGAAAAAAACTTCATCGCTAATTTATTATTGTGAGAACTGAACATCATATGTCACTAACAGGACCACAGATTACCTTTGTACTGACAGTCATCTAGAATTACAATAAAGCTTCTTTGCAGTTAGTTTTTTGTTTTCATCACAGTGATGTAAATTGGTTATGTACAGTATTATCCTATACAGTAGACTTAATGTTATAAATGGGAAGCCTTCTTGGGAGGAATTTTTGGTCATATTTTCCAGAAAAAATATTAAAATATTTAACAAAAAAGGTAAAGTACTGTATTGTAGCAAGTCTAAACAAACTTATATAATACCATGTACAATATGTACACTTTTAAGTGTTGAAGAATTTATTAACCCATTAGATGTGCATTGCATTTTCAAGTTATATTCCCAAGGTGTTTCAGTTCTCCAGTAAAGTTTTAAAAGGTAACTGATCTTTTTTTACTACTCATTTTGTTAAGGCAGAGCCATGAAGTTTTCACATCTGGCATTAATATTTCTTAAAAACATCTGATACGTAGTAATGTAAAAAAATCTGAAAAATTAATATGCAGTACTGTACATCGTTCAGGGATTCCTCATTTCATGCTTTACACATTAACCAACACTATCAAATGTCAAAATTTCCTATAAAATCATTACTGTACTTTACCCTTACTCTGCCATAAATTTATTGGAAAAATTTTCTAGATAAATCTCTCAAGTTTAAAAATCTTATATAGATCACTGAGTGCATAATCAAACCCTCACACTCAGTGGTGACCCAGCTGTTGGTGGCTGGCTGATGGCTGGTAGTACAAGTGTTAAGATATATTGTCAAATTGTTGCAGTTTAACAAAGGAAGCAAAGGTTAACATTAATTATCTTAATAAAACACAAATGGTGCCAGACAGTAACAAAACAACTGATCACAGTCGGCTAGTGAAGATGCAGCCATCAGCAGACATTTTTATTTTATCAATTTTCTTGTTAGAAAGAAAACAAGTTCAACAAAGCCTTATTTATGCATGGAAACATCATATTTACTTAACAGATAGAATTAAACAGTCAGCAGTTATGGTGGAGGAAATTGTTTGTTGAGGCTTCTCATAGTGGTGATGGTGGCGTGTTTAATGGGAATTTTTCAAAACAATGTTAATTGAAATAACACAGATTAAGTTGGAATTTGATCCCTAATATGTCAGCGATGGTTAAGCTAAATGACTTAATTTTATGTAAGTTAAGAATTTTTAATTATTTTTATCTTCAGGGGAGTTGGTGATGCAAAAAACAAGACCTACTTGGATCACCTGATGAGCCATATCCTGGGGACAGTACTGGGTCAAGGTCCACGAGAAGGAAAGAACCCAGGACAACCTAAGAGGGAATCATCTGGACCACAGTCATCAGCAAGACTAAATCCTTACCTACCATTAATTCCTATTAGTCCCCAGAGTTTTGTCTTTGCTTATCCAACATGGCTCGTATTGCAAGATGGTGATGAAGCTAAGGTAATTAATTTACTCATTAGCTACCTGTCCAAATAAAACCACAAAAAAGGTGCTCACTGTAGTCTGGAGGTGAAGGTGTTGTCTCAGGTGAAGGGAAAAATTTCCTCTGTGTCTTCATGAATGTATTTAAGAAAAAGTTATGTAATCCTGTCACTAAGTTTTTGGCCATCACATTTTTTTCACTATACAGTACAGTATCTGTATATGTTCTGGGTATCAAGTTCTATCTACAGGAGCGAACACAAACACCTGTAGAGTTTTCGTAGGTTCTATTTACTGGATAAACAGAGATATACAAGCGAGGCGGCGCTCCTTACTCTGTCTGGGGGGTCAACTAGCCTTCGGGCGACATGTGGCAAGTGATACATTAGCAGCTTCCATATGTCGCCAGGCACATTAATTAAGCGTGTGGGACATGGTAAATACATTGCCACACGCTGCTAGCTAGGCTGAATAAATAGTGTATATAAATGGAGCACATACATAATATACATACAGCATACATAATATACATACAGTATCTTAATAAGTTTCAAAACTTTATTTCCATGTCAAGATCTTTGTTGAAATTTTTATGGGCTAAAATCAGTCACCAAGTTCATGCTTGTGAAATGAATATACACTATACATATGTGTAATTTATAAGCACTGTACACTATGTATGAACTCTATATTACTGTACACTCGCACCAAAAGGTGTCGGTGCAGGGTGTGATCGATGACTTCCGAAACGATACGTATACACTGTGATATGTCGGGAAGGTTGGTAAGTGTATCCTCATACCCCCCCCCTCCACTAGGTGTTGCCATATGGCTGACAATCAGTGTGTTTGTTTCCTCTTTTTGGATTGTTGCTTTGTGTCGACTGAATGATGAGCGAGGGTTCGGTCTCGGTGAACGTGGGTATAAAACAGAGGCAATATAAAGCAGTAGAGAGCTACACATGCCAGACGACATGGAAACCTCAGAGGGAACACTAGGAGCTATTATTGCCCTCCATAACGAAGGGTTCGGCGTCACAGATATTAGCCAGCGGGTTGGAGTCCACAGGAACACCGCTGCACGATGGATTCGGCGATACCTCGAAACTGGTGCTACAGACGACAGGTCTCGGAGCGGCCGTCCACGCTGCACCACCCCTCAGGACGACCAGGTTGAGTGGTTTATTTGGTAGCATAAATTAATATGGCAATATTCACAAGTATCACAAATAATTTTGTTAACAGGGAGCTCCTCATATTTCATACTGTCTATTTATCACTTCCCGACCTTATTTATAACGGTTTGTTTCACTTGACCAGGCCACAGTAGCAGCCCAGCAGGATTACAGGGCTGCCAACATACGGTTGGAACAACTCGCCGTTCCCAATGCCTATCGTCACTGGTCTCAAATTGTTCACACTACAGTATGCACCGATACTTTTTGTTGCGAGTGTACATGCCATGTTTAAAGATAAAGTTTAAAGATAGTAAATCGTGAATTATCAGGTTGTGAGTCTATTAAGGTATACACATGACTTGTTTGATAACTATGATAACCAATTTTATTGAATATGAAAGATGAAAAATATTCCTTAGCTTCAGATTGACAACTGCCTCAGTGAACTGGAATCAGGAGACTTTGGTGATGATGTGAGTATGACCACTGTTGAATCTTACCCTGAAGTGTGTATGCTGTACAGTACTGTATATGTAATGTTACAGAATTACAACAGGTAATACATTACAGTACTGTATAGTATATTAGTTATTTGGTAAGCTTGGGACCATAAATGAAACAATTTCAGGAGCTTTCTGACTTGGGAAATAATAGGCATAGAATTTACATGAAATATTAAATAAAGTAAGGGACAATATGCCATTGGTTAGAGGAGTTTGTTGGGTCTCTCACGTGCGGTCTGTCACCCTCATATTTATACTGTACTGTTCACTGTTAATGTAATTCTCTTATTATTTTAAGTAAACAGTAACAACTTTCATTTCCAGGATTCAGATTATGAGGATTCCCTTTCATTATACAACATCTTGGGCTGCTGCTTGTTCTATAAGGTGAGCTACGGTACATGAGTTAAGCTTGAGAACTAAGGAAGAACTTATTATAACGTCATAACTATCTTGAGTATATCATAGTCATTCATATATTTCTTGTGACATATTAACTGTTGAGCTTTGTGGACCATGTAATAAGAATTAGATTTTAATGATGAATGTACATTACAACTAATTCTATCCATTCTTACTCTGATGATGCTACTCTTCACCCTTCAAATTTTCCCCTTCCTCCTAACTCTCAAACTAGATCTGTTTCTAGAACTGATATCATTACTTCTATCAACGCGGATCTGTGCAGCATCTCTGAATGGGGAGGTACAAACTTGGTTAAGCTCAATAGTAACAAAACTCAATATTTATCAATTACACTTTGTAAATTAGACGACCTCCCACCAATTACATTTCAGGACGCTATCATCCTCCCAAATTCTGAAATAAATATGTTAGGCCTCACCATTTCCTCCAATATGTCCTGGAAATCACACATCCTTAGTATAACTAAAGCTGCCTCCCGAAAGTTGGGAATGCTGTACAGATACCGTAGCTACTTCATTCCTGAGCAGTTGCTCCAAGTATATAAGGGATTCATTTGTCCTAACTTGGAGTACTGCTCTCATATCTGGGGTGGCTCTTCTTCCGACCAACTATTAGATAGGGTGGAATCAAAGGCATTTCGTCTTATTAACTCTCCTCCTTTAGTCGACAATCTCTCTTGCCTTTCTCTTCGCCGCAATGTTGCTTCACTCTCTCTCTCTTTTACAGGTACTTTAACGGGCAATGTTCAGTGGATTTGGCATCCTGTGTGCATCCAGCAAGGCCATGGGCTCGTAACTCACGTCTTGCCCGCGGTGCCCACCGTTTCACCGGTGGATGTCAGTCACACGAGAATAACCCATTATAGTACCTCCTCCTTTCCTCACACAGCCAAACTGTGGAATGCTCTGCCTTCTTCTGTGTTTCCATACTTATACAATCTGTCTCACTTTAAAACGCTGGTTTTCCGGCATCTTCGTGGTGTAGATTAACACAATATAACCTTTTTCTTCTCTAGTTTCAATTTCTTTCTGTTCTTTTTTTTCCCAGGCCCTGTTGTTGAGTCGTTTGACCTGTGCCCGGTGGGCTAATTCCGTAAAAAAAAAACATTAATTTTCTAATTTTTTACTCTCCATTTTTTTTTTGGTAACTGATTAACTGGTGATACGTTTGATGTACCATTTCTAATAATTTTACATGCTGTTTAGCTTCCAGAGGTTTGAAAAGTATATTCTGGTAATGTAAACCCACTGTGCTGTAGTGTCTCCTTTTAAACTGACATTAATCCATTGAGTATGATGCCAACCTCATTATAATAGCTAAGCCCTAGATATGATGCTTCTTCTACTGAGTAAGATGACATTGTATTCAGAGACTTAGGTCATCACACTCAAAGGGTTACCTGTAGAATGATACTTTCCAGAGCATTATTATTTGTACAGTCTACTCTTTGGTAATAATTAAGATAAATTTGCTCCATTCATTAGGGCCATCTTGTAGCATCTCATTTGTCTTGTGAGGATCTGAGACATGTATGGCTGTTCAATTGTCACCATGGACTCCTTTCTCTCACTACCCACGAGTCAGTCAGCCAGTTGGTGGCTTGGCGGACTGTGTACCCTCCTGGAGAGATCGGCGCCTGCCGTAATGACAGAATTAAACATTACCTCCTTGTTGTTGCTATGGTAAGTCAGGTGTCCATTGAAGTAGGTATGGTATGTTAGAAAAGAAATAACAGGGAAGAGTTGAATTTAAGGAACTTAAAATTTTTATTCTTGTATGGTAAATCTTACTGTTTTTACTTTTGTGTTGTATTATCCAGAATAAAATCAACTAGATTTCAAGGTACCATAGCTTTGAAATGGGTCATATTTTTGTCTATGAAATAACAAGTTTTTACAATGAGAATGCATATGGCATTGTTGGAATGTGTGCTAGCATGTGCACTTATTTCTTTCTCTTATGTATTTTTCATATGCAGTACATATACTGTATCCTTATGTTAGTGTAATAGTGATAACTACTTCACCTACTTGATGCTTAAACTAACACTCAGAATTTATGATCTTAAAAAAATGCCTTTATTATTTAAAATGACCAAGTACTGTACAGTACTGATGATTAATCAGTGCCAGCATAATGGCTGGCATTTTGGAAAAGAAAGAAAAAAATTTTATGTCCAAATGCTTCAATGAAAAGTGGTTCTGTAACTCTTGTTAGATTACTATATCCAAGTGTATTGAGTTATGTGGTACTGTAGTCTGCTTAAAGTTATTTATTTTCTAGCCCAGGGCACTGGGATACCTGTTACTCCTGTGTGTAATGGTCAGCGAGCGGACTCGGGTTTGTTCCCCGGGCAGGTTGAAACTAAGGGCAAGTTTCTTTATGCCATTTGCCTCTGTCTACCCAGCAGTAATTGGGAACCTGGATGTTAATCGATTTGCGGATCGTGTTCTGGGGTAATGGTTAGCCAGTGCAGTTGGCGAGTTGTCCGGTCTTCTCGGACTATTCCTCGACACTGTGTCATGCAGCTCGTTAACTCAGGGTGTGGTTGTTGTGTTGGCGACAGCTTCTACACCTTAAAACAAATTCACGCCTAGTTGGCCCTTGGGCCAGTCATCCTCGTTACATGAGGGACAACCATTATTATTGCTGCCAGAATTTTCTTCATATTTTAACCTTAGTATCTGTAGTGCCCTCACACCTTGTATTGGTATAAAGAAAAATGACTTAAAATATTTTTAAATGTTATGATGCTGGAGATGACACAAATGGTAAAAAGTTGTTTTCTTTTTTATCTCTACAGAACCACTGTATCCTGTGTCTTCTTCTTGAGTCTGGAGGAATCTCTCATCTGTAAGTGAAAAGTTACATCATAATTCTTACTCGCTTTCTGTAGCATACTGTTCTGTCTCAGGTTTTTTATTTATTTATATATACTGTATATTTATTTTTGGTATACTATATTAGGATTCACTCTTTACAAATCTTGTGCCTTTCTGGGTCCTCTTCAGATGCTTATACTAGAATTATAATTTTGCATGTACAGGTAGCAAAAAATAATCATTTCATCAACAATGTAAATAAAAAAATACTAGCTTATCCTATGGGCAACCTACACCATGCCATTCAGCTGACCACTACCATCTTGATAAGGTGTATGTGTACTTCTTACTTTGAATAGTTACAATGAAAGGTTTTTGACATTGAATAAAAAAAATTTTGGTTGTTACAGAGTAGATGAAGGTGCTGGACCAGATCCACTTCTTGTAGATCAAGCCGAGGCTTCACTCTATCAGCTTCATGCACTCCACGTCAACAGTGTGTGTGAGGATACGTTAGTGTTATTACCTTTTGAGTCATTGTTACATCTGTTTAAGTAATAACTTGTAATTTTTAAAACTTTGAGACTGCCATATATTCTGTACTTTGAAACACTCATGTATACTAATCAAGCTGTATGTTAAACACCACCACTTTACATGAACATCAGTACACCAACTGTCTAAACTGGTGAACCTGAATTATTTTGTGATTTTCTCTATAGTTTCATCTCTTTATCATGTTAAGCTCTGTGATGTACCAATTACAGGTGTTTCATTAGAGTGCAGTGTATCATTGTATGTTTTGCCTTCTGCACCCTGTGTTGTGGCCATTAAGGGATGAAGCTCTCCAGAGTCATGATAAATGGGACCACAAATATAACAACATAAGTTGGAGTTAGGTCTTATGACACCATGCCACCCTTAAAATACCTCACAACAGACCTCAGATTCTCAAAGTTTGCTGAGGTAGACCCTATGGTGGGAGGCAGATGGGGCTTTAATTTCCTATTTTCCTAATACTTTCAGAATACGCCTTTGTATTAAAATCACTGGCATTAGTGGCTTCATATTTACTGCTTTTCTCTTCAACAAATTTCCATTTAGTTACTGTACATGATCAAAAACAAATTTCTGTTTCTACCATCTACTGCATTATCCAGTACTGTACCATTATTCTTACACTTCAATAGAGCCAGTCCCATTTAAATTATAACTTGCATTAAGATACTGAATTTATTTTGATTTACAAAGCTTAATTCCAACCAAATCAAACCTGTCATAAAAACTATAGAAAACTTCATACAGGTTGAGAATCTTTTATCCAGAATTCTGGAATCTGACAAATTTGGCTCCAACGATTTTGGATAAAGGATTCACAACCTATATCACTGCACACTCCTCTCTTATCATGTTTTAATTTCTTTCACTTTTGCAGCTTAAACAATGGAGGTATTGAAACTATTTCTGCAGATGAAAAAATGGGTAAAATAATGCCAAGCAAAAAGGGAAAGGATAAAAATGAAGTAGTGGAAGGTAAAGTATAATACAGTACATTAATGTATCATAGGACCATTTTTATCAAGATTTAATTTGGTCACAGTTTTAATATGTACAGTAAACTCTTAGCACATATGGGGCTCTGGCCTTGCCAAGTTATCCCAAATTCTGACTTATTGAAGCACTCCCTTCCCCCCTGCTACAAAAATACGACAATAAAAAATTATCGACCCACATATTTGTACATGTAGTTACTAAATGTAAAAAGTAACACTTACACAGCACTGCAGGCGAAGAATGAAGCACCATAGAAGGTGACACAGAGGTATGGTAGGTTACACAGAGGCATGGTAGGTGACACAGAGGCATGGTAGGTGACACAGAGGCATGGTAGGTGACACAGAGGCATGGTAGGTGACACAGAGGCATGGTAGGTGACACAGAGGCATGGTAGGTGACACAGAGGCATGGTAGGTTACACAGAGGCATGGTGGTGACACACAGGCATGGGTGACACACAGGCATGGTAGGTTACACAGAGGCATGGTAGGTGACACACAGACACACAGGCATGGTAGGTTGGCATGGGGTACACAGAGGCATGGTAGGTGACACAGAGGCATGGTAGGTGACACAGAGGCATGGTAGGTGACACAGAGGCATGGTAGGTGACACAGAGGCATGGTAGGTGACACAGAGGCATGGTAGATGACACAGAGGCATGGTAGGTGACACAGAGGCATGGTAGGTGACACAGAGGCATGGTAGGTGACACAGAGGCATGGTAGGTGACACAGAGGCATGGTTGGTGGTGCAGGTGACTAGATATGTCGAGATTTTCCCAGATAATTTTATATATCTCGGTGTTTCCCGAGTTATACTAATACATTCCGAGACCATAACCATGCCGAGTTATATGAAGTTCTGTGTCATCAAATGCTGAGTTATTGAGGGTTTACTGTACAGTATTAAGTTTCTCAATTGGTGCATCATTCTTCAGCTGTAAAATTTAATATACTGTCATAGCTCCATTATTTTGTTGATGAAAAGTTCTCTAACTCTTGAATAGAACCCATTTATTTTTCTTTAAAATGAGGGTAGATTAGGGATTCCTTACCTGGCAATTAAGTATTAAATAGTGCCATGGTTTATTTTTCCATTGACCTTATTCTCATTGTCTCATGGGCTGCCACTATTGATGTTCATTATTTAGTACTTTCTATATGCTGGTTTGTTATGAACTGTAGTCTAGTAAGAAAACTGCGTTGTATTTTATATTTATAAATTTCGAGATACGTTGCTTATTATATATGTACGGTACCTGCACTGTAATTTATTGTAAATGGTAGTGTACTGTTAATACTGTATATTGATATAGTTTGCATTAGTACTTTTATCTATTGTTTTATGAGGTATTTATGTATAACACTAAGCTCTTTCATGGATGAACAAGAGCTTAATTCATCATTACAGTAGTTGGAATAGTACCAATGTTCATCTAGATAAAACTAAATGATACCTTGTAATCTTTTCCACCAGCTGGAGGACTCAGACTACCTGATGTTCCTTCAATTCTAAAGCAGAAGTCATCACCGCTGCCTGAGTCAAGGTTACACGTCCACGACCACACCGGATGCGAGTGTGAGGGAAGCCTCGGAGAAACCAGCGAAGACTCCTTCACCCACAGCTCCCGAGATTCATTAGAGGAAGATGAGGAGGGTGATGATGAATCAGAATCAGACTGGAGGATTTTTAAAGTAAGTACTGTACTGTACATCTTTTATATAGAATAATTGGCCTTTGTAGATATCAAGCTGAAACATTGAAGCAATAAGCAGTCTCAGACATCACTATCACATCATCATGTTCTTAATATACATCATGTCTAGCTAGTAAAATTGTAAAATTCAAATTGCTAGCAATTAAGAAAATTCTTAATATTTTTCTATAATGACACTCTTTGTAACCCTTAAGCCTCGGGTTAGGGTGCCGCTGGGCGTACCCCCCACGCAGGGGTAAATAGAGAAAAATCAACTTTTCAAAAATTAATTTTTAACCTTTTTGAATGTTAAAACAATAAAAAGAAGTGAGAAAAGCTATATATTGACCCTCTAGAAACTTCCCTGGCAGCGTGAAGGGAGGGGGGGGGAGATAAGGGGACAGCTTGCTGACGGCGAGCACTCGTGGTCAACTACTGTACTCACTTAGCAGCTATTTTAGATTGCCTTTGTGTCCAAGATGGCCAGTAATGCATATATTTACTGATCATAATGCTTATTTCTTATAAATAATTCATTTTGAATTTATTTGATTTGCATTATGTTTCATAAAAAGTTCTCGGCGACACACACAGTCTCTCGCCAGGCTGTCTTTGTGTTTGGTAGAGCAAGAAATGCGTAGAAATAATTATTGGAATAATAATTCCACAAATAAATACATTTATAACATAATCATAGCATTATTTTCCAGTAATACTACACTACAATACAACTGTACACTGCTTTTAGCAATATTACTTTGATACAACATGATAAAATGGATAAACAGTGAAAATGAAACAAACAAAAGTTCAGGAAGCTTCCCTGTGGCCGAAAGTGTAGTGTGACAGGCAAATAGTCACACTGAAACCTGATAACCCGCGCTGGGCATTTAAACAGTGGTGGGGAAAGACGTGCGTTCTGGAACGTCACCCGGGGCCCGCTGATCGGGCGTTCTGGAACGTCACCTGGGGCCCACTGGTCGGGTGTTCTGGAACGTCACCCGGGGTCCGCTGGTCGGGCGTTCTGGAACGTCACCCGGGGTCCGCTGGTCGGGCATTTTGAAACGCCACCCGGAGCCCGCTGGTCGGGCATTCTGGAACGTCACCCAGGGCGTAAGGGTTAAAAGCCACAGAAACAAAGGTTATTTTTATTTACTGCATTACAATACAGTAATAATTTTATGCTTACAAGGAACCAAAGGAAATGGTTCTGTCGGGTACAGTACTTAAGAAAAGTTCATAACCACCATATACAGCAGGGACTCCTGTATGGTGCTGTTGTTGTTTTACCGAGGCTCTTCTTGAAGCACCACCTGGATGGGTCTCTCATGGTTACACAATACTCAACAAAGTTAGTCACTTAATGTCATATAGAGCCTCACCCATATTAGTGCTCCAGTCACTTGGCTATGTTCTGGTTGACCAACATTAGGGTCTAACAGTTGAATATTTTGAGCTGGTCTTATCAACCATTCACTGTCAGATTCATTTTGATTTTCTTCCCCAACATTTTCGTCATTACTCGGACTTTTTTGAGTTAGTCTAAAAAAGAATTCTTCATATCTTTGGGGTTTTTCTTCATAAACCAAAATTTTTATTTGTACCTTTTAAGTTTTATAAGTTGGAGTTGACTTGTATAAGGATGAAGAATTGAAAATTTTGTAATTTTCGTTTTCTGGCATTGTTGTTGTTAAAGATAATAGACTTCCATCCACCACATCCAGCCTAAACCATTTCTGGCACTTTACCTGTGGACAAATACTTCATAGTGAATGAACACTAAGCAACTGACTGCTTCTTAGTGACTGAACAACCGAACACTTCTCAGCATCCTTTCCATACCTTACCTAACTTGACCTAAAATAATATTCCCTGTACTTCCATCCTAGGAGAAGTAGGATAGGTTGGATCACCTTATCAATGATAAATTATATACAGTCATTCCTCGACTTACGGCGGGGTTAGGAACCGACGACCAGGTCGTAAGTGAAATATGCAAAAATAATAAATCTAAAATCTAAAATGGGTGTCTCTTTTTCTTCTCAGCACCACGGGAACTCTCACTTTTACGCTTGCCGGCCATTTTAAAGGGAATTACAAACGAAAATGTTGTCAGTACACAGTGCTATCACTAAATTCAGGACTCGAAAATACGTACAGTAATTTAAAAAATATTTTATACGACTGTTGCAGTCGTATGCCCGGGTGGTCGTAAGTCGAGTAGATCGTAAGTCGAGGAGTACCTGTAATATAGCAGTCAGTGGAGGTGTTCTCATGTCTAAAAAAAGTTATGTAAACAAGTAAAACATTGGCTGGATGCTGTGGATATACATAGATTATTGTTCAGGGTGAAAAACTTGGAATTCTATTATCAGTACACAATGATGAGTGTTTACTTATGATTGTTTTTCTTTCCCATGTTGTATTTTATTGTATATGAAGTAAATTCCCAATAAAATCAATCAAGTAGTAGACTTGGTTGTTATACTGTATACACACATGATTTTCCCAGTCCAGATTTTAGTAGAATAAATTAAACATTAACTTGGACTGCAAGACAATACAGTAGATATAATCACAGCAATACTTGTTGTAGCGCTTGTAATAGAATCATTTAATTTCACATGTAAAAAAAAAGTCATTTTCAGAAAATATTTATTTTACAATTGATAATTTAGTTTTGAGGAAGAGGAATAAAATAACCACTTGCTCAAATAGTCAAGCATGTTTGAAAGTAATGCCAAGTCCTGGGTATGTAAAAATGTTAGAATATAAAATTTTGGAAGATGGTTTGGAGTGTATTTTTGTGTGATAGGTATTCATACACTTTCTCATGCAATATTAGTAATGACATTTAGTTTACTCTTTGAGATCATTGCTGTGGCAAAGTTGCTGTTTAATTGCTAGAGACGGGCAACTAAGGATGTGTGGATATTATTTATAACTGCCTGTATCTGTATCTTGTCTTTTATTGCCAGCCTTCTGAGAGTCGAGGCCTTCACCAGTACGATTTGGATATAAAAAGCCCACTTCATAAACGAGCTGTCTCACCCATAAGGTTTGCGTGAATTTCCCTTACTCTCATGTTTTGAATTGTTGCAGTGTATTCAGTCATAAGTTTCAGTAGTGTATTGCAGATATTATTGAAATAAATTACATAAATCAGCATTATGTCTCGGTTAAATTAGTTTTAGGATATGAATTAACCAATTATATTAAATATAATTTTACAGTTTTACTTATCATGAAGTAATGCAACCCAGATTAATTATGCACAGGTAATTAGGAAAAGTGATTATATGTACCTAGTGACAGGTAAACACATGTAAAGTGCATTTCTAATCTTTCTGTTATAGAGTTACAAGTGGAAAGGATGGCGTTCTGTTCCATCTGGTGCAACTTGAGGTTGGGGAAGGGGTGATCATTCAATCCCGGCCCTCCACTATGTCATCATCTCCAATAATTTCCCCTGTTGCAGTCTCCCCGATCTCTGCCTCCCCTTCACAGCCTCCACCACCATTCCATGCACAAGTTTTACAGAGCTTCAGGTCAACATGTGCTCATATACATCATGTTCTTCATGCTGCAGTAAGGGGGAAGGTTAGACTATGCAAGAATTATACATCTAATTAGCTTGGTATCTTAACCCTTAAATGGTAGCTAAAGATTCCCTACTCCACCCCATTTGCACAAAAATTGAACACAAGGAGTGTGAAGCATCCATTGATGATGGCTGCTATCTCTGCAGCAAACTTTCACTGATGATGGCCACCGGGTTAAGAGCCAGTTTCTTTGTGGATAGTAAAACAGAAGTATCATTATGGGGAAAATGTAAGCTTGGAAGCCACAGTGATGAGTTACCTTGGGGTTGCATCTAGGGTTACCAGAATGGAAGGGGTAAAAATTACTGAGGTGTATGGGGCATTTGGAATGACAGAGAAGATGAAATGGTGGAATGTGAGTGAGGGGAAATATGTCATGATTGGGTGACCTGGAGGCTCTTAGGTCATGGCTGTCCTGGAGGAATGAGACATTGTAGAGAAGTAGTAACTGATCATGATATTACTCTCATTTTCTTTTATGTCCTAACATATATTTTGCTGTAACCATATAGGAACCCAATGGAAACTACAGTGGCAGCACATCACTCAGTGGCATCAAGGAACATGGAATTTTGTTCACATACACTCCTCCCACCACAGATGGAGGAAGCACAGGCAAAAGAAGACCCCAGTCCTTTTCTTATTGGGTTGTAGGGTAAGTGAAAGGGAAGGATTGTACAATAGTAGGTTTATTTTTTTATGATCATCAGATAATTATAGTTGAGAAGCACTGTACAGTACTGTGATTCATCTCTCTCTCCCTGAACTAATAGCTTCTCATTTAATATTTAAATGTGTAAGTTACCTTTTATGTTTGAAGTGTTCGGCATAGTAGTGACAAGCCTATCACAGGTGCAAAAATCTGTTTTTATCCTCAAAAAAATCACTGGTCTTCCTCTTTATCATACCAAATGGTGGATTTGTCAGTAATACTCTCTGTTTTGAAAGTGGTGATGGACCATGTGTTCAGGGGAGGGGGGGAGGAAAAATATGGATTCTGGTGCTGTAGTAATAGTGGCCTCGTGAGCCAAGGAGCATCCAACCAGGGCCAGTATTCATGCTCCTATGTGAATTACTTAATTTCTCTCTTTATTTAACATTATTTATTTAAAAGATTATATTTATTTCGTCCTGTGCAAGATGAGTTCATCAGAGTGAAGCAGTCTGGTTGTGTCAGACTACCCACGGAAGAATGCCGGGAATGTAGAAAAATTTAAAAATGAAGAGTATACAGGCATCCCCCTTGTTGTGAACATTAAGGTTACAGAAATTTGCCCTTAAAAAAAGTCCTAAATTATGACGCCTAAATTCGAGATTCAAAACCAAAAATTTGCCCTTATGGAAATGTAGTTTTTTCTTTAAGATTTCAACTTAAAAATTAGTAAGATGAAAAAAGTAATAATCAGAATAAAACAAAAAGTTATCTGTAATTGTGTGTAACATATCATCCTTACAATAAGTTCCTAAACCTCCCTATTAATGATATGATCTTTAGGTTCATGATACCTTACCAGTGTGTGCCAAGTTGATGTGATATTGCCAGTCTTGGTGGAGACGTTTAAGAAGGACAAGTCAGGAAACAAAGAAACATCAGTCACTATTGTACTTGTGATTGACCCAGAGGAAATTCAGCGGTAGACTGAGGTAGTGAACCATCAGAGGTGGGCTGGTGTATATTATTATCATATTACATCATGAAATGGTAAATTTTCCACTTATTATACCACTATATTAAAAAGGTTTATTTTCATTTGCAATGGATTTCAATGGGAAAATTGGTTTCTCTTTATGGAATTTCACTTTACGGAAAATTTGTCAAGAACATTTCCTTTCCCACTCTGGTTTGTTTCTGGTCCCAAGATTGTCAGATACAGTGATTGATATAGTACATGTACAGTATCACTATAATATTGATATAGTACATGTACAGTATCACTATAATATTGATATAGTACATGTACAGTATCACTATAATATTGATATAGTACATGTACAGTATCACTTTAATATTGATATAGTACATGTACAGTATCACTATAATAGCCCTTGTAATGGTAAATTATCAGTTTGTTATGAAAATTATGGGAGAAAATTCCCAATGTGTGTGGGTGATCTATCCTGCTAATTTATTAATAAGTTTGCATTACTTATCATCTGGCTTATAGTCTTTTTTCTTTCTTTTCTTTCAGACGTCTGCTTCTGGCACCTTATCAACGAGAAGTGTATGTGTGTTACCATGATTCTATACCTCAGAATGTCCTTGAATTAGCTTTCAAGGTATCGCTTGGATGTGTAATATGATTGAAAACTGACAACTTGAAAGGTACAGTATTAGATTACATTTTAGTTTTTATTCAAACGAAGATGCTATTCGTGATGTGTGAAAATTTATAATCTAGTTTTGGGCACCTGGGCACCTTTCCTATGAAGAGAAATATCCTTGAGAAATATCAGCAGCTCCCAGATACAGTTATTCTTATTGAAGGTGTATTTTCCAGGTGGTCCAGAGTGTTAAGTGACCACCCAGAAATAAGAAGTACCGGATCAAAACATAATGTAAACACTGAATGTCAGCAACACTGGTGTTTTGAGGAGATACAGAGTACTACAGTATAAATGGTATTTAATGGATGCAAAAATGAAATACATATTGTACAGTACAAATAAAAAACAAACAATAAAATTGACAGGGGATGAGAATGAAGTTTTTCTGTGATAAACATTTGAGACATGGAGATGTGATATGCAGTAAGAAATCATTTTTTTTCTAATTAGAGCTTTATTCATGTAATTACCCCTTAAAGTTCAACCCAATCAATGGTGACCCTGTAGATGCACTACCCAGCACTTTCTGTCAAGTTGGGAGCTTGTATATTTGCAAATCACTTCTAAACATAGATATATTAAAGTAAGGTATTTATGGTTCCAACCCTCCTAACCCCCCCCCCTGCCACAATTTACACATTTCACTGCAATGCCAGAAAAAAAATCAAGGATGTCACTGAGAACCTCCCCTAGAGCTGTGATCATGGTGAGTACTGTACTGTACTTAATTTACATTTTTTCTGGTTCCCAAATTATTTACGTTGATTCTCACTCCCTCTTGAGCTAATTCCCGTCAGACAGGAATTAAATTTATCAGTATCATACTGTTAAGTTGTGGATGTACCAGTAAGTCATTTGGGAAGCTACAATACTTTTGCAAAGTAAAAGAATACTGTAATTATTTGGATTAACTATACAACTGTCGAGAGAATAAAAATAAATGCATTTCTTTCTTTTTTATGAATTATATGAACATGAGCTGAATCGATTACCTTGAAATAGTTTAATATAATTCAAATTGCTTAAAAAAATTTCAGGAAATGGATTGAAAAAAAAAAAAAAAAGAGATGCTTCTATTATATGAGGTCCCCCCACATCGTAAGGGTAACTCAGACCACCGGGCAAAACCCATTTTGTGTTGGAAAGCACTATTTTCGCCCTAGCTCTATATGATGGTAGTGGATAAGATTTCCTCACTAGACTGTAAATAAGGTTGAAAGCCCCTTGAAATTAGGGTGTAACATCGATTTGTGGCAGACAGGAAAGTATGGCTTTGGCTTCGTCAGGTTCTCTCGTCCCGTCAGTGAATGAATGAGAGGAGAGGGCGGCCAATCACAGCGGCTGGCCCGCAGCCTCATCCCGTCTCGGCCAATGACAGTGAGCGTCTGCTATCTATGTCACGGTCCCTCTAGCCAATGAGTGCAGAATCCCTCTCCCTCAGTTCTTTTTGGTTGTGGCGGGATCTACACTGATACCGATTAAAGTAAAAAAAGCCATAAGCGGGTGGGAGTTTTGTTGCTTCAAGTCAACATTGCAACAACCCAGTTCATTACTTCATGACGCATTACCTACCATCTGCACGTACAGTCCTTTAGCTTCAAAATGCATAAAAAATGAATACTGTATCTCAAAAAACAAGAAAATTATGCCTGTTGAAAGTTGGGAAAACTTTAAATGCGGTTTTCTTAGTTTAAAATTTTGGCCTTAGCATCCCTTCCGACGCGGGGGTCTCTTATATACTGGGTATGTTATTTTCTCAACACAAGGTAGTTAAATATTGTATTCAGTAGTGTTATTATACTGTACTGTTTGAAATGGTTGACTGTACTCATCAGTTAGGTATTATAAGCATATTGCTCTCCATAACATTTTTATACAGAACTACACATTTGTCACAAGAAACAAATGATGGTAAGGGTATTACACAGGTAAAACCCAATATGTACAATACTGTCTTGAAAAATAATGCTTAATTAGAGAATTCTTTTACAACTTGTTTATACTGACACATTCTTGGGTACCGTAACCATTTTTTATACATGTCTTGTACAGTATCTTCGTGTTGCAATATTAATTCCCAGTAGAACTAGTCAAAATCAATCGGTAATAATTAAAATGACTTTTTTCAGTGATCAGCACCAGTCTTGCTTGGTTAAAAACAAATACTTACTCAGGGACCCAACTGTATATCTGACGAGTAAAGGTATCTTCAAGAACCATTGAACCAATCGTTTTTATTACATAAATTAATCCACAACTACAGAAAAATATCAAATCTTTACAATGATATTTTAGTAAACATTTAAGATGTACAAAGGTAATAAATTTACACACTGATATTCAAACATGCTTTGTTTACTGCTATAAATGTACAGTACAGTATACATAGCAGATGTACAATTTTTTAATTTAGAAATATAGTGTACAGTAACTATTAATAACAAGTGTTTTGTCAGATTGTTTCTTATCTCGAAGTCTCTATCATAAGTGACAAAAAAGTCTTACATAAAACTTTCACACAGTTCATCATGTTAAATAATTTTAAACTACAAAAAAGTTTAAGATACAAACAGATTACTTTTTATCAGGATTAGCTCCCATTTGAGTAGGATCTTGTGAAGGATAATGGATAATACCATGGGTGAGGGGGGGTGGGGGACCGACACCTGGGATTGGTGGTGGCTGAGGAAAATATGTAGGAGGACGAATCCCTGGAGGGGGACGTAATGGTGCACGAAGATGAGGGGGAAAGAACGGAGGAGGCTGTAATGGTGGCAAATGACCTGGAGGTGCTGGAGGTACACCAGGAGGGGGTCGAGGGCCTAGAGGAGTACCCAATGGAGGAGGTCCTCCTGGAAGACTACCTGGAGGGGGAGCAGGTGGTCTGGGAGGGGCCTGACCAGGAGGCATTGGAGGTCGTATTGTTGGGGCACCAGCAACTGGAGGTGCCTGGCCAGGCGGAAGTGGTATGCTGGCAGCAGTAGAGGGTAAATTGAAGAAGTTGTTATGGAGTTCTTCAGGTGGTGGGGGAAGTGTAGGGAGGCCAGGTACTGGTTCCAGAGGTTGAGGAGCAGTGTCGTCACCCTCTAATTCTTCAACTCCTCCAATTCCTACTCCTCCCTGTCTAGCTTGGGATCTGCCCCATTTGATATTAAGGCGCCGACCCTGTATAATGAGTTTGTTAAACGTACGCTCAGCTGCTAGCTCTGCAGCAGAACGAGTAGTAAATTGAACGAATGCATACTGTTGTTTAGCTACGACATTCACACTGCGCAGTTCACCATATTGGTAAAAATGATCTCGCAATTCTTTTTCACCAATCCTATCACCTAAATTACCAACATATAGAGTGGTGATAGACTTGTCCTCTGGGGGCTCCAGTCTTGGCATTGCTGCTGCCCTCTTCAGTAGTTTGTCAGCAACTGGATCATTAACACCATAATAGCGATCTTTGATATTCTGATCAGCAAGAGGATCATCAGGATCAGTGGGCTTCTCATGCCGATAGGGGCACTCTTCACCTCTCTTACATTCACCTTTGACCCAAAATGAACATATGTGTGGTCTATTTCTCTTGTAGTATGGCGTTGTGCGGGCTAGACGAAGAAGCATCTCGGAGTGTGACTTGGTTTTCCCTAATGCCCCACCAGCAGTGGTTCCATCTGAGGAAGCTGCCATCTGTCTCTCCATGTTCTGGATGTAGAATTCCTTGTTTACTTCACTTTTGGGCATATCATCAGCCAAGCTGAGGGCAGAGTCCCGAACCTGTAATGTGCCAACAGAGTATAATTAATCACGTGATTTTTCAAAAAGCATGATAATATGTTGGTGCTAACAAGCTTGGATCTATTTTATAGCTTGTAGATCATCTCCAACACCCCTGAAAAAGGTTGTTAAATTTTGAGTGTTGTGTTAAAACACTGTCATTGTTTTTTCACATTACAAGATACTTTACATAAGAATTCACTTTTCAGATCTTAGCTTCTTGCATCTTTCCTGAAACAATTTGAAGTGAGCTGCTACCACACTTAAAGAATTCCTGAAGAAGATCCTGAATGATTTAATGAAGCAAGACCCAAATTTTAATAAATCCTCCACATCATAAGGCAATATAATTAACTGGTAAGACAACTTTCAACCAACTAAAAATTTAATTCTTAAAAAATTTATATACTCTATGCGGAAATATATAATTTACAAACTTAAAATTTTTTCTAGCTTAACATGTCCTATAGTTAATTTTTTATTGACATCCAAAATAAGTACTGCCCCTAATTTTAGTTTTGGCTTGTGATTGGAAGGACCCAGATCCCTATGATCTCATCGGTTCTGAGTCAAAATGATCAGCTCCAAACAAGTCTCTCTCTCTCTCTCTCCATACGGCTTTTACATTAGGTTTCAAAAAGGTTGTAACAGTTATCTCCTAATCACGAAAAGATATAATCATTTTAATAAAACACCGTGGCCTAGCAAATGAGCCGTTTCTGCTAGTATAATTATAAATTAGATATACTGGAAGTACAGTATCTGTCATATTGTTGATTACACCATAGTCTCTTAGACCAGATGATCCCTAATGTATGCACCACTGCATGACTTTTTCATGCAAACTCCTCTTGCCAGCTTCAGTCCTGATTTTTATTCAATTGATTACTCTATTCTTCCTATGAAATAAAGTCCATTTTTATTCATTCACTACAACTAATTCTATCCATTCTTACGCCAATGATTCTACTCTTCACTCTTCCTCACATTTTCCCCTTCCTCCTAACTCTCAAACTAGATCTGTTTCTAGAACTGATATCATTACTTGTATCAACGCAGATCTGTGCAGCATCTCTGAATGGGGAGATACAAACTTGGATAAGTTCAATAGTAACAAAACTCAATATTTACCAATTACACTTTGTAAAGTAGACGATCTCCCACCAATTACATTTCAGGACGCTATCATCCCCCCAAATTCTGAAATAAATATGTTAGGCCTCACCATTTCCTCCAATATCTCCCAGAAATCACACATCCTTAGTATAACTAAAGCTGCCTCCAGAAAATTGGGAATGCTGTACAGATGCCGCAGCTACTTCACTCCTGAGCAGTTGCTCCAAGTATATAAGGGATTCATTCGTCCTAACTTGGAGTACTGCTCTCATATCTGGGGTGGCTCTTCTTCTGTCCAACTGTTAGATAGGGTGGAATCAAAGGCATTTCGTCTTATTAACTCTCCTCCTTTAGTCGACAATCTCTCTCCCCTTTCTCTTCGCCGCAATGTTGCTTCACTCTCTCTCTTTTACAGGTACTTTAACGGGCAATGTTCAGGGGATTTGGCATCCTGTGTACCGCCGGTAAGGCCGTGGGTTCGTAACACACGTCTTGCCCGCGGTGCCCACCATTTCTCTGTTGATATCGGTCACACGAGAATAGCCCGTTATAGTACCTCCTTCTTTCCTCACGCAGCCAAACTGTGGAATGCTTTGCCTTCTTCTGTGTTTCCATGCTCTTACAATCTGTCTCACTTTAAAAAGCTGGTTTTCCGGCATCTTCGTGGTGTAGATTAATACAGTATAACCTTTTTTTCTATATTTTCAATTTTTTTCCGTTCTTTTTTTTTTTCGCCCCCCAGGCTTCGTTGTGGGTCGTTTGACCTGTGCCCGGGTTGGCTAATTCCCGTAAAAAAAAAAAAAGTTAAAAAACAAATATATAATGAAGCGCTCTAGACCAAGAGTGTCAAACATGCGGCCCATTTGCTGCTCCAGCCTTACCTTGAGGAGCTATAACTAAATAGTTAGTGTATCCCTCAGCTGAATAAAATAATTGACCTCCAGTGTGATTCTGTGTTGGGGAACAAGTTTTCGAGTGTTGATGTTGGCACATTTTATCAATATTTTGGACCAAATTATCCCAGGATTAAATGTTTTGCCTCAAAGATTATGTCAATGTTCGGAAGGACATATGTCTGTGAACAACTCTTTTCTGTGATGAACTTGGAACAAGTCTCGGCTTCGGTCTCAACTTACTGATGCTCACATTAATTCAATACTGAAGGTTGCTACAGCTCAAGTCGTTAGTGCCAAACTTTGATGCACTGGTTCATACCAAGAGGTGCCAATTACCAGGAAGCAGCAGTAGCAAACAATAAGATTGATCAAGGTAAGTAAACAATTGATTTGTTTGTTTTTGAGGGTTTCGCACGAGCGCAGACTAAATCCACTACTCGTACTACTCACCTAAGAGGTGATTGTGAAGTGCTCATAATTATGTTACTTGGCCCGCATACTGTGTACTCATATTAAATCTGGCCCGCCTTGGCAAATGAGTTTGACACCCCTGCTCTAGACTGACTAAAATTTGCTTCAACTGAGCATACGGTCGCATCATCCAATCACAAAACAACATGTCATATTGCTAGGCGGAGCTTATTTTGGATAGCAATAAAAAGAACTATAGTCTAACTTAACTTAAAGAAAAAGCTGTAAACTGGATACATTTAACAGAACTCTGATTTTTGTTTTCAAGAGTAAATTAAATACTTTGGCTAACATTCATATACAATACCATCATTTTGTTTGACTGAAATAAGTTTGCTTAATGGTCATAAAACACTGAAGCATATAAACACTAAGTTCTAAAGTTAAAAAAGCTGTAACTATTAAATGGGATAAAAATTAAATGAAATACAGTATGAACTTGTCCAAATTTTATTAATACAGATGTGGGACCATTTTTCCTGTGTCCAGGTATCTGAAATGGTACAATAACATGCTATGTTCTGGAACAAATTATTTAAAATTAGCGCCAAAAGTAATTCCCGGGCCGAGATGGGATATGTTATGTTCACTTTTCAACTCAAAATTTTGGGTAGATATACTACCAAACAAGAGGTTCTACCGCCTGGGAAGATATTGGAAGCATAATGTGTTGTCTAATGGTAGACCCTGCTGCCATATGTGACCAAGTCCCAGGTTGATGATCTGACTTTCTGCCTCATTTACACACAATTGCAGGGTCTCAATTGTTTCTCTTACCATTGACAACACAACATACATATATTGTTTCTCACTTTTTATCTTTTATTTGTATTTTTTGTAATTCTTTATTATTATTATTATTACATTTTCACCCCCCTAGGCCCCGATGTGGGTCAGTGACCTGTGCCCGGGTGGGCTAATCCCCATTTTTAAAAAAAAAATCTTTACTTAGTTACATAGAGAAAATGAAAAAGAAAAAAGAGGATAGAATGATTGCAATATAACAGGGAGATAAAATATCCAATAAGCACAAATGACTCACCTGTGTTGGTAGCCCATACTCAAGATCTAATAAGCAGGTCTGACAGACGTTCTTGATCTTGGCACATGTCTGGCAAACCTCAGTCTTCTTGAATCTCATTCTTGCACCAGGGCACCTAGCAATATTTTAAAGTCAATTTATAAATATAAAATTTCATAATCATGTTCACTCTCTCACATACAAGTACAGGGTATTCTTTTGTCAGTTTTAAGTACAGTGCATCATGTCAACACACCAGTACTGTACTTGAAGGGTGGTGATGCAACTACAATCTCTCTCAAATATTTGTTTTTTATCGTTACAGCATTAAAAATGTTATTGACTTTACACTAATCTAGTAGCTAAAGCAAGGTTTTCACTCAATGTTTAAAGGCCTGAAGAGGATGGGGATCATGGGTATTTTAGATGATGTTTTTCTGTACAAGTCACTTCACAAATAGTATGACCTCAGGAGACTATTAAGTACTGTACACTAATTTAATAAATACCACCTGTTTTGAAGTGCCTGGCAATAAAGTTGATAACTTTTAACAGATGAATGAAAATATTGTACCAGGAACAATTTAAACTGGCCTATACATCCGCTGAATTAGTTACGTTATTATGGCTGGCATCCAGTTCATAACGAAAAACCTTCCTAAAAAACAGTGCAACTTTATCTTAAGAGTAAATCAGCTGCCTTGCCACCACCTGCTTATAAACAGCACTATAAATAATTGGACAAATTAATCTTCAGTAAATACATGGAGGGGTAAAAGATGGACAAGTTTAAGAAAAAATAAATACAGTCCTGTACTTAAAAAAAAAAATTATATATTTCAACTATATGGAAGCTCCCATCATCACCATCTTGCCCTGTTTATTAAGGATTCTTGTGCAGGCATCCTTGTTCACCCTTAATGAAGAGGACAACCTATATTCCTCTCCAGATACAAGTTCTTTTAATCTATGTTTTCTAATCATCTGCTGCTTTCCAACTCCTAATTCTTGCTTAGGGTGAATCAAGGGTAACACAAGCCAAGAAAAGGAACGAATAATGAAACAGCAATCAGACACAATCCACACTCACATTTCCTATTATTCTCAACTAGCATACAAAATGCATAATGCATCTTACCAATGTTGTGACAAAGAAAAAAAATAAAGTAGTAGTAAAATAGAAAATTACATCAAAATAACTTAAATTTAAATACAGTACAGTATTCTATAAAGCATATTTATACTACCCTCTATTATAAGCACTGAAAAATTTACTGGGTATGCTTGGATATAATTTGACAAATGTGGGTAAATAAAGGAAGACAGGTGCACACAAATGGTACACTTGTAATACTCACCATCTGAACACCGTGAAGGGACGTGTGCAAATTTTGCATTCTTTACCATACCGATCACGCATCATTCGCACATAAGGGTTATCCCCAAGGCATGTTTGACACAGAATAGGGAAGTCCTGAGAAGAAAATCAACAATATTAAAAAATACTATCAATAGTAATGCAGAAAACTTAAAGAACAATGATGGATTTGTGCTTCAAAAGAGTAATGAACTGCATATATTACTGAGAACTGGTGAACGTTTTGTATGAAATAAATTTTTTTTGTTTCTTGAAACTAGCCACGCATATAAGTGCAATTTATGTATTTTGGCTTTTTCCAGTTTTCTTCAGATGTGTAAGACCTATTCTTCTACAACAAGTAAAGTGAACTAAACATAACCTAATATCACCTAGTTAAACTAATATATACTTAAGATCAATAGGTTTAATTATAACTATGGTTGGATCCTGTTATCTTTCATAATATTTAATTACAGTACCATAAGACAAATTTGGAAAAAAAGTTGAAGAGGTGACACCTCGTAGGCAGTTACAGCAAACAAAGTTTTCTTGTTATCAAAATGTTTCCCTAACTATGTAGTTTTCATAAGTGAGTATCATTTCCCAGTTTAATATGTAAGTAATAAATGGAGCGAGGAATTACCCAAATGTACCCAAATGTAGTCGCAATGAAGTCAAATAATGGTCCTAGATGAATAAATCAGACTGCCAATCTCTTCTCGACTAGTATTTGGTGTCACAAAAAATTGGTAAACTTAATTTAATCTGAGTTAATAGATCAAGTGCATGTACCTAACCTAACCTAACACAGCACAACTCAGATTAAATTAAATTTACCAATTTTTTTTACTTTATGACACCAGATAATAATCGAGAAGTGATTCACAGCCCGAATTACGCTTGTACGACCATCATTTGACTTCATTGCGGCTACATTTGGGTAATTCCTCGCTCCGTCAGTACATATACTCGATCTATTAACTCAGATTAAAGTAAGTTTTCCAATTTTTTGTGACTCTGACACCAAATACTAGTCGAGAAGTTATTAGCAGTCCGATTTATTCATGTAGGACCATTATTTGACTTCATTGCGGCTATATTTGGGTACATGTGGGTAATTAGTCGGACCGCTGGTGCCTGGTTGAGTCAGCAAGAATTTACACTTCCCATTGTGAGATAACAGCACTTGCTAGTGGTGTGACCATGTTGAAAAGAAAGTTTTAGCATTTTCACCAAACAAAAATTACTATCAAATAATGAGCAAAATACGACCAAAATTGTCCACCAAACTAGCAACAGTCAAGATCCAAATAAAAAGTTGTCGCCTCTTTTAAAATACTTACTACGTATAGTGTTAAGAACATCTGTAGGAAAAAAATAACGAAATCGAACAACTCTTTCTGGTGTTAACCATTCCATTATTGTCGCCAAAAGTGCCATAGATGAAAATCGTCTTGTCTTTGTATGAACTTATTATTAACCATAAAAAAAACAGTACAGTATAATGTTCTCAATCAAGACCAAACGTTCATTCAATCTTCATCAGGATACAATAAAGGGTACCATTTTAGTTCGGTCATCCCGGTCTTTACGACGGTTTTTGAATGAGTTTGACCTTACCTAACCCAGGAACTATATCTAACCTAACCTAACCTAACCACAGAACCCAGAAACTATATCTAACCTAACCTAACCACAGAACCCAGGAACTATATCTAACCTAACCACAGAACCCAGGATCTATATCTAACCTAACCTAACCACAGAACCCAGGAACTATATCTAACCTAACCTAACCACAGAACCCAGGAACTATATCTAACCTAACCAAAGCTAAAATAATAACCAATAAAACACAGTAACTGCCTCAACAACTATGAATCACATCAGGATCATAAACTATGGCGGTCATTTTCTTGTTTGTAGTAGGTATCCTTAGTTTAACTCATCTGTAAGCTAGTATATCACAAATACTTAAACAAATAAATACACAAATTAAAAAGTATCCCTTACCCAGTGGGGGACATACAAAATTGTTACTAAATCATGAAGCCCCGCCAGTGGCAGTTCCTGTCTCCACCATATAACTCACAGTCACGGACACTATGGGGAAAGAAACTTTATGTTCCTGCTCTCTGTGTTGAAAAGACCTCATTATAAAATAGTCTACTTACCGAATCTTCCCAGTTTTGTCGGTTGTAAGTGTTTGTGGACTTGGACATAGCCATGTTTACCAGCTTGTGTTGTGACGATGTTCCTCTGTCTGGCGCACTGCTGCCCTCCCCTCCCCTCCCCTCCCCTACCATGTCATTGCTGTTTATCCTCTAACTTTAACCATGTCATTCCTTACAATGCATAATTTTTAATAACCAGAAAATAATAAAGCAACTTTCGTGGAAAATTTTATATTTTCGGATTTAGCGCTGTTTACGTCAACTAATGTTTCTCTTTTACCGATGTATTATTTTATATTCCTTTTATCCTCTTCACCACTGATCGGCTCGTTAGCCTCTTGGGTGATCGGTCCCGTCTCTGTTACACACTGTTGGCAAGTACTGGACATGTACCGGCTCCTGAACCTGCTCCAGTGTTGGTCAAGTCTGGTCTTGAAAGAGCTCACACTCGGTGCCGTCACAACACTTTCTGGTAGATTGTTCCAAGAGTTTACAACTCTCACTCCGAAAAAGTTTACCCTCACAGTTTTCTGGACTTGCGGCTTCTTCAATCTTGAGGTGTGACCCCTTGTGGGGCGAGCGTCCGCCAGCTCCAAGTAAGGACACTCGACTGAGTAGTGCCCCCTCAGATGCGTATACTCCTCAACTAGGTCGCCCCTTGCCCGTCTGTAGTATAAGCTAGGCAAGTTCAGGCGCTCCAATCTCTCAGGGTAGCTGAGGTGCCGAAGTGCAGGCACCAGTCTGGTGGCCCTCCTTTGAACATTTTTCAACCAACTGGCAGTCCCTAGCATATCTCGGGGACCAGACGGGGTGACAGTACTCCAGATGGGGAAGCACTTCACTCTTGAAGATCGTTACGAGGGACGGACCGTCTAGATATCTGAACGACCTTCTTATAAGACCCAATAATTTATTTGCCTGGTTTACCTTCTTCTCACAATGGCCCGAGAACTTCAGCTCATTGTCAACATACACACCTAGGTCCTTCTCACACACAGTATCAACTAGTGCAGTTTCTTCATCCCGTTGGGACATATGATACGCCTCCTTACCGTTGGTACGCCCCAGGTGCATCCTCTTACACTTCGTGACATTGAATCTCAGCAGCCATTTCTTCGACCATTCCTGGAGCCCACAGAGGTCCTTCTGCAGCTCTTCACAGTCCGCTTGGTTCTTAATTTCCCTAAATAACTTGGCGTCATTGGCAAACATTTGTATGGAGGAGTGTACAACGTCAGGCATGTCATTTATGAAACAAACAAACAACAGCGGGCCCAATACACTGCCCTGCGGTACCCCACTTGTGACAGGTACAGATGACGATTTCGTGCCATTAATCACCACACACTGCTTGCGGTCATGTAGAAAGTCTTCTATCCACACTAGGACATTCGCCCGAATTCCGTACCCTTCCAGTTTGATTTTCAGCCTTTCGTGGGGTACACTGTCGAAAGCCTTGGCAAAATCTAGGTAAATATTGTGGATATTACCAGCCTGTTCCAGAATACTGTTAACTCTTAGCAAGGAAGCTGTTATGGTCGACAGCATTGAAGGCTTTAGAGAGGTCCAAGTGACATCTTGACTATCTTGTGGGTTTGTATTATGATATCAGTCAATCTATGGAATTATCTGGATACAATAGTTAAAAAATAATTTAAACTTGGCGCTGGTTGACGTCCCGCGGCTCAGCCAATGGGGTTGAAGTATCGGTGCGCGGGTGAGCCAATGGGGTTGAAGTACCGCTCTAGTGTCTTGCGGGCTTGTTGTATTATGGCCGCCAAAACGAAGCTGCCGTAGCACTATACTCCCTCTACCACGCTGTCATCAAGTAATAAGGTGGTACTCATTCTGTCATTTGTAACCAGGTAGTGTTATAATGACCGTGAGGGTAGAATATAAGCTTGGTATAATGTAGATAAGTGACAAAGACATTGTTATTGGTGGTGTTGGGTCGAGGTAGTGATGCACGAGTGTGTCTAAGGCTTTTAAAACACTAAGCTGTGGTACCCTCATAATACGAGCCCTATTAAAGCTTTTCTTTCATGTTTCATTTTATATTAATAGATTCTTGGATGGTGGAGCTGAAGAACTGAGGTACAGATCACTCTTGACAGTTGCCTCTATAGGGTAATGTATTTGTCTGGTCCTTCTTGTGGTATGTAAATGGGAAGAGCCTCAATTAACCTTCATATTTATATGTTGAGGATACATTTCATGGTAAATTTGCATTGTCACACTGTTATCTGTTAGAATGTCAAATATATATTTTTTCTAGTGTATGTGTGTGTTTAGACCGAGTATGACCTTCATTTATGGGGGAAATTAGCAGGTTTTTCTTTCTTTTTTCGTTGGACGTTTTCCGAAAAAAAATCATGGCAAAAATACACAAAAAAACATTTGAAAAACAAAAACCAAACCTAACCTAACCGACTCTCACCATATGAGGGAATCATCTATTTCTTACCTTATTGGCCTGGTTCTTGTTCGTCGTTGGATTCTGGAATTCTTACCCAACACCACATATGTTGGTCTTTGCAATATTTACATTGTCTTGCTCTTAGTACACTTTACTGAGGTTGGAAGAACACCATGCGATCAAAAAAATGTTATAGTTAATACGTTTTTTCCAAAAACTCGCAATCAGCTCCATATACTTTAAGTGACACCCATCGCAGACTTCCATGGTCGGAACTGAACTTGAATTTCAAAATATGAGAGACCCAAAATAATACTCGAATTTGATGGGGCCCAAAATACCGTGAATTAAACCCAAAATCATATTAATTGGTTTAAAAAACAAAAAGGCTTTTGATTGGCCGCGTGACGTGTACGGGAACGCATGCGCGTGATGATTTATGAAGGAGACGCGAGAGACACGCAGTGTTGGAGGAGAGGCAGGCGATAATGGCGGGAGGTTAATTGAAGAAAATATAAAAAATTTTGTAAAAGCTATCTTCGTTATTATACATTTCCGCCAGTAATGTAATAGATGAAAATTATCTTATAATTAGACGTCTTATTCGAATATGATAATAGATTAGTGGTAGGAATGAATGGTGTGCAGACGCAATAATACCCATTTCATTCTTGTTTTGTTACTGCAATTTAAAATTTAGGTAAATGTGTGTACAGTACTGAGTTAGGATTAAATAGCTAATGGTTTGTTTAAGTTGGTTTTCACAAAGACATTTGCTTCAATTAAAAGAATTCACAAAGGTTGGGGAGCACTGTAATATAAATAACTTTACTAAATAATTAAGAAAAACACCATAAACTTAAATCATGGTGCTTGGGCAGGAGGCTGAGTCAGCAGGGGTATGGCAGCACTGAATGCCTGTGAGACCCTGTACAGTTCAAATGTGTGGGAGTCCTGAGCCCCTCACTACATAATTTTAGTGACACACCCTTAGATCTAGAAAAAGAGAAATTTATTTGGTGCAGGTAAAGTTTACTTTTGGACCACGAGAATTTGGAGAATTTTATCTTTGCAATCAATAGTTTAGACAGTTCTAAGACATTTTTATTCTATGACGTTTCCTGTGCAAATGACCTAACTTAACCTAACCTTCCTGTGTTGTCCGAAAAAAGAAGAAGAATTACCTTAAATCTAAGAGAAAACAATGGTGTATCCTAGCTTATATACACCCCCGTAAGTTGGTAAAGTTGTTGGGTGATGAACAACTCGTACCCATCAGAACATGTCAACTCATACCCAATTTACGAGACGGTTCGTACCCATGTTGGACCAGTGTTGCTAAAACTGAAAATCAACCAAACAGATTGCCCAATTTTGAAATAAATGGGGCGTGAAATACTGTACTGGATATTTCAAAATAGGAGATTTGACTATTTATTATTGTATGAATTTTAAATATATTCCTAGTACTGTAATGAAATATTTTACATTAATTCTTAAGGTATGTTCTTAAAATTCCTGATTACGTACTGAGAAATGAGAGAAAAATGTCAATATATTTTGTCCACAAATTACACAGTAGCTTCTGTTCAGATCACTAGATTCACCCTTAAATGTAGCTTTATCTGTACTGTACACTGTAATATTAAAAGTTAAAATTGTAGGCATATAATCTGCAATAACAAAGACATATAAATGACAACAATGAAAGCATGAAAAGGGCAAAAATAATATGTCAGTGTACACAGTGTGTCTCAGTTCTCAGGGACCATAGCGACTTCGACGCTCACCTTATCAACGTAACAGAGTCCCTATCAGCCGTGCTCCACACCCAAAAGTACGAGTTAAAAAATAAGCACAATATAACATACAGCTCACAGAATAAAGGAGCATGTAACAAGTGAGTGTGGTAGTGAATAGAAAACTGCTTAATGTGTGATAATGGTTGTTTAATGCTCACATTTTTCAATAATTTTCAATTTGTCTGTTTTTCTTTATTAACTACATAAAGTAGTTATTACAGTTTTTCAGTTAGTATTCATGCATGACGAACTATCAGACAACTCTTCGAGGATAATGGACATCTGTCTTTTATCTTGAGGATTTGTCCGTTATGACTGGGTAACGTTATACTGAGGGTTTACTGTAATAAAAAAATTGGATTAAAGAATAATATCCTGAGCATGTGCAGTGCACAGAGGCTACAAGATTGGGGAGGCTGTAGACTCTTTGAATGTGACGACACATTTCATTAGACATATCCTAATGTTGTGTTGTAATTTATAATTTCTCCCACTTACCGGCTTGCCAGCCATTTGGGCATTTGTTTCTTCCAGTGATGCACAAAGTACTGGAAAGTGTTATTTTAGTAATACATAGTACATATCACTGGAGTAAAAGTAAAAAGAGCCTCATTGGAGACGACTTGAGTAAATGTAAAAAAATAATAATAATTGACTTTTGAAATACATAGGTAGTAATATCTCCGTTAGCCGGAATCCCTCAAACCCGGAACTCTCTGATAGCCGGAATTGAATTTTTCTCGGAAAATCGTTACCAAAGCCACAATTTTCTGGAAAATTCCGGCTTTGGGAATGATTTTCCGAGGGGCACATTTTCCGGAAAATTCTGAGAAATTTTCCCGTTACCCGGACAATTCTTGGGATGGGGGAGTTTTTCCGGCTTTGAGAGAGTCGTCTCGTTACTTGGAAATCTTTAATTCCCGGGAGTGCTCTGCACCAATTGTTCCGGCTAACGGGGATATCACTGTACCATAGACACTCCCCGGTTTACGGAGAGATTTCGTTGCTGGACTCTAGCCGTAAGCCTTATTTTCTGTAAACTGAAAATGTCCCTTACATAAGGTAAATATGTACTGTACCCTGTACTGAATCACAGATGGCATCTCACAGAGGTATGCGCTCATCCGCCTTATGCATAATCCTCCACAAATAGTGTTGTTACACCATACTAGTTACCTTCCTTAATAACAGAAACCCTTGCGCAACTCGAAAATTTTTATAATGGGTCTTATGGGAGGCATAAATGGTGCAGGTATGACATAATAGATCATAATGCTTGTAAGAGTTCAGTAATGACTTGCTATTGCTAACTTTTAAAGAGTTGGGTGCTGTATGGACGCTAATCATCTTGGGTTATCATCAGTTGTTATAAATCTAGCTTTAATATTTTCAATTATTCCTTTTTTATTAATTAAAAGTACTGTACATATACTAATATTGTGTTTCAGTAAACAATAACATATTTTTAATTCTGGAGTTGGGCTTGGTAGAATTTAGCCTACTGGAGACTTAATTGCTGAAAATAAAAAGTAATATTCCTTGAATAATATTTATGCTTAGATATAAAATCAAAGCCCAATATTGAACAAATTATGGACATGTACTGTACTTGGTAATAAGGAAAAGACTTGATTTGTTAATCACATCATCATTTGTATAATGTACTAACTTACTTAAATAAGATTGTAAGATAATTTTATGCTGTACTGTATTACAAAATTCAACAGTCCTTGAAAACCTATACACTTACCAACAGTTTACACTATTGTACATTCACTGACGAAGTCTTACAAAATCTTTGCATTGATACCATAGCAAAAATGTGCAATAAGTTAGCCCCAAAACGAGACTGAATCTAATGAGCAAATTTTCATCCATGTACAGGTCAGGCTCCCACTGGTCATCATAATTTTGCCCCAATTTAACACGCTTAGGAAGGGGGGAGGTGCAAGGTCAACCTAATCCAACACCAGGATTATTGACTACACTTATTTATGCCATAGCTGTGAAGAAACTTGTAAATTGTTTAATCTTGACCTGTTTGAATCTGTTTACTAAAGAGCTAACTTGTTTTGGGTTTGCTCTATCCTCTTTGCCAACGATCAGCTTGTTAGCCACTTGGTCACTCAGTCATGTGTGTGTTATGCACTCTTGGTAAGTACAGTACAGTAATATCTCTATGAGCCTGAATCATTGCTAGCTGGAACTCTCTGATACTGTAACTGGAATTGAAATTGGCTCAGAATTTTTAGGGAAAATCCTCCCAATTCCGGGTTTGAGAACGAGTTTCCAAGGTTGAAAATCGGGCACATTTTCGAAGAAAATTATGGAAAACCTCTCCAAATTTTGTTTCCAGATCTGGGAGCAAATTCTAAGGTTGAGACAGGTGCATTTTCTGGAAAATTCCGATAAAACTTCCAGTTTTCCAGGTCTAAGAGTAAATTCAGATGATGAAATACTGTAATGCACAACTTCTGGAAAACTCCGAGAAACGTTTCCCAGTATGTACCCGACTCTGGGGATGTGTGATTTTTTCGGGTTTGAGAGTCATCTCGTTATCCAGAAATCTCTCATCCCAGGAAGAGTTCTGCACTAATTATTCAGGCTTAAGGGTTATCACTGTACACTGCAGGACATGTACAGTACTGGTTCCAGAATGAATCTGAACGTGCGCTTGTGTTGGTCAAGTCTGGTCTTGAAAGCGTTTACACTCAGTGCTGTCACAACGTTCCCTGGCAGATTGTTTCAAGAGTTAATAACTCCAGTTCTGAAAATGTTTGCCAGTACAGTATTCTGTACTGTATTATTATATTTGTTATTATTATTACATTATTATTATTAGGAAGCTGTTCAAGCTACCAGTGTGTTGTGTATATTATAGAATTATGTTTATATATCCTAATACAGTACAACAGGTATCTGATATTGGTTATGGATATGTATTAGAAATAGTAAGTTATGATATCTGTACATGTGTACTGTATTTATAGCTGTTCATAAAATGTGCATTGAGGAAATATTATGGTATGGCTGTGTGGTAGTTACACGCACTATGTTTCTTAAATGAACAGACACATTCATCCTGTAAACATTGTCAGTTGACACGTTGAGTCTTTTCAATATTGGACAGTGTTCCCAATATCCAAACAAAAAGATGTCCATTGCAGTACTGAGAGGGGTTATTGTACAGTAATTTGTTCTGTATACTTTCTTAAGAAATGCAGATTATTAAACCACAAGTTTGTTCCCAACTGTCAAGATGAAAAAACTTGGTAACTTAAAGTTTATATATTTTTTCTTACTTTTTTCAGTTGAAATCTATTGCCAATTTCTATACAGTTCTGTATTTTAAAAAATATATTAACTATAGAAGACTTTACATTGGTGGGGGTGGTTGAATGATTGTATAAAGGCTTTATTGAGTGCCTTAATAAAGGGTTTTATTGAATATAATTATAACAGAAACATTAGGAACTCCTGTATAGCCATGTGGCTTCACAGATTAAATCATGTTCATGTTTAATACGGTACTGTACTGTATTGTCACGTCACTACAGTTCCCATTTAAGGATCTTTTACCCATTTTTTTTTTGTGTAGCTACTGTATGTTGAAATATCATATGGGTGGTAATTTTTTACTGCAGTTATATAATACTGTACAGTACTGTATAGTACAGTATTTTATTATTGTTGTTAGTAAATATAAATTTTACTTATGTTTGCCCATTTTTCATCCACAGAATTGATTGGTGAAAGTGTTTTGCCATGGAAGATAGCCAGAGAGAGAGCATGGAAGTTGATCCTCCAGAGGAAACAGTATCTGCTGAAAATTCAAGTGCGGAAAAAAATATTGCCAGCAATATAGAGATAACAGGGCCATCAAAAGAGAAAGACAATAGCTCAAAGGATCTTGAAGCAGATGGGGACTGCAGTAGTGAAAAAGGTTCTAAGACATTGAATAAAGGTACTGGTGAAGAGGCTAGTATTTCCTCTCCTAGCAAAGTAAATGACAGCTCAAATGATGAAAGTTCAGCAAATGTCGATCCTTTAGGAACAGAAAGTGGAAATAGTGATTGTGAAAAAGACAATGAAAACAGTGAAGGAAACCAGAGTGATAGTTTATCAAATTCAGATGGTGTTTGTACAAAGAACAATTCTGAAGACTCTGCTAGTCATCAGGCTGACCAACAGCAATCTAAAAGTACTTTCAATGCCTCAGTGTCTGAAAAAGATGATGACACAACGCACACTATCATTTGCAACTCTTCCAACAGCATTTTGGATTCCAATGTGCTGTCAGAGGAGGATAATCTTGCTGATGATGACGATGGTCCAATGGAAGTAGATAAGGAGGGAGGAGATGTAATAGAACTAGATAAGCAGGGAGGAGATGTAGTGGAAGTAGATAAACAGGGAGATGTAATGGAAGTAGATAAGCAGGGAGACATAATAGAACTGGATAAGCAGGGAGATGTAGTGGAAGTGGATAAGCAGGGAGGAGATGTAGTGGAAGTGGATAAGCAGGGAGGAGATGTAGTGGAAGTAGATAAGCAGGGAGGAGATGTAGTGGAAGTAGAATTGCAGGGAGGAGATTTAGTGGAAGTAGATATGCAGGGAGGAGATGTGGAAGCAAATAAACAGGGAGGAGATGTAGTGGCAGCAAATAAACAGGGAGGTGATGCATTGGAAAACGAAAAGCAGGGAGAAGATGTAATGGAAACAGATAGGGCCAAAACTGATAAGGAAGGAGGTAATGAAAGATTTGGGAAAGAAAAAAGCAGAAGTGAAGAAAAAGATGGTAATGACACCGAAAATAGAAAAGAAGACAGTGAAGAGGACATTGTAGAAGTTCCAGTGTACAAAAAACCTGCAGTTGTTGTAGATTTAGCACTTGATGACGAAGCTGATGATACGAATAAGGATGATAAAACTTCAGACAAGAACAGCAGTGGGGAAGAGTCTAACACAGAAGGAAGTAGCAGAAGAATTAAGCTCCGGTCGTTAGCTTCTTTAGTTGACACTCCAAACGAAGAATCATCAAATGTCGTGATATCCACAGTGCACCCGGACGTTCCAGCTATTGGAGAAATAGTTGAGCATGGTGTTATTATAGGCTCTGATGAAATGGGTGGGCTGCAGCTGCGAATTTCCAATGTAGTGGGTGGAGAAGATTGTATAACTGGTCTGTCCCTGGATGAAGACCGCGATTCATTCTCTCATATCCAGATCTCTTCGGTAACTACACTTATGGATCCCATGAGCCCAGAAGATCCCAATCAGGGGAAAGATGACAGTGCTACTGCTAAGCCATCTGATAAAGACACTCCCAGCAAGGAAAATTCTAGTTCACAAGAATTGCCCGAGACTGAAGTTAATAACGCTGACAAGTCAAGTGATGCCATTGAGGATATCCAGAAAGATACAACAGATGAATCCAACACTAGTGGGATTAAAATTGTTAACTCTGAAAGCCTTTCATCAAAAAGCTCTGATGGAAAAGATACAGACAAAGCTGAGTCGGCTGGCCCCAAAATTCGTCTTAGCAGTGCTGTCTCGGTAAGTTTAGATTACAGCAATTATTATAGAGTCTTTACTGGAATTTATTTTATATTAGATTCACATTGTTTATATTTTATTCAGCACTTAAAAAAATTACCAGAATCAGAAAGTTTCTTCAGGACTAAACATAATACAGTACATTACTTATATATTTTCATCAGTGCTTTAGGACAAAATTATTATAAAGTTGTGCCTTTGCAATTTATCAACATATGAATAATTTAGATTAAAAACACACGGTGATTGGCCTAGTATTTCAAGTAACTTAATCCTTAAGTTTAGGCTATGGATTTAGAACTCGCGTGACATTAGAATATTTAAGATCAAGATCACAGTGCTCTTGACCTTTTGGAATGATATTAAACTTAAATTTATAGCACCACAGGAAAGCTCTTGTCTGTATTACTTTACAACTCTTTAAAATCAGTGACATTATGTGTGTTTAGTTCTTTTGACGAAGACGGTTATTACTTTTAATTACATTGTATTCACCAGACAATTCACATCATTAGATGTCACTACCCTCTGAATATTTTTATCGATCTATGTATTACTTTTCACTCAACAGGAAGTTGCTAAGGATACAGGAACCAGTGATGAGGCAGCCAGTACGGCAAAATTTATATATCACATTCTACGGAGTATCCTCACTGTGAACAGGGAGTGTGTTGCATGTTGCAAGGTAGGTTCTATTGAAATATGAAAGCATCTTCTCATTCACTTCAGTATATACAGTACAGTATTCTAAATTAGTATTATTTATGTTTACAGTATTGTATTTATTTTTATTAACAAATAGCTTTAATCATGACTAGAAGAATTTCACACATCATTGATACTGTAGCACAAAGTCTTAATAATTAATATAAAACTTTGGAAATCCTGCGATGTGTCACTCGGGAGCCTCACCCACATTTTGTATTACTCTCAGGAAATGAAGTTAAAATAAAAGTATACAGTAAAGTTCTGTTAAGCTTGAAAATGATGAAAGGCCAAGTAAATGTGGCATCCTCAGGCCCTAGTTGTGCTGGCTTTCCAAGGTTATATTGTTGCAGCACAATAAATGTTGTATCCACAGAATCATAGTAGCTACTCTAGTAACAGTGCAGAATCATTGTTTTAAAGCACAAAACACTAATGTGATAGCACAAAATTATGTACAGAGTGTACTGTACTAATGTCATGTAATAGTTGACACGACTCGAGAGATTGAGAGGGCATGACAGACCTGTGAGTGATGCCTCACAACAAGATCCATCATGCATCACAGTGCTTTTAAGGGTAACTGTTATTGATTATGCTGATACAGTACTGTATAAACTGTTGCTGTTGTGAGTCTGTTATATCAACACCATTCTATGTGAACAGAATTATTCTTGGTGAACTGATGAATTGTTGTGCATTTTAAAGTTTTCAAATTTAATTGTATGATTAGATGTTCTCCACTCATTGGTCATTTCTCCATATTGTCCACTGTGATAGAGGCAGTCTCTGATTTATGAAATTCCAGTTTACCCCCAAAAATAAGTCCCGTGTTTTGAAGATGGGTACAGTATACAAAAAGTTCAAAGTTACCTTTTTTTTATTATTTATTAATTTATTGTTATTAATTTTTTTATTTTAGTTTATTTTTTTTTTTTTGCAGCACTTAAAGATGTTAAGATTGCTGACCATCTCACCAAATGGGCCTGGTCAGTTTATAGATAATTCAACTAAAAATGTTCAACATGCAATACTCTACTGTTTTAAGAGTACTCTAGTTAACTAAGCAAAAAATGAAGTACTGTACATGGATTGTTTTACCTGTTGTGGCTCACAGCATTGTCAAGTGGAGCAGTGGCAAGGTGATTGTGGGAGTGCTTGATGTGTTACGTTTATTTATTTATTTTTTAAGGGTTAATCTCGGCTTTCATAATGAGAGTATGGGAAAATATGATTTAATTTACAAAATGATTTTCAGGAATGGACCCTTCATACATCGTAAAATGCCGCTACTGTACATATAAATAGTTGATGTATCTTGATAAGTCATCTTTTTGTGTGATTCACAGAGTAAGAGATGTGACTTTCGCATCACCAAGAAGAATGAGAGTGGGACGTTTGCATTCTTGTGTAGTGCAGAATGTAGAACTCGGTGGACCTCATCCCTCACGTCCGATCATGTGGTGGAAAAACCTCGTCTGATATTTGAAAAGATGTGTGGAATGTGTGGGAAGGACCTAGTCAATGTCTCTCGTAGTGGGCAGTACTCGTGGGAGACCAGAGAATTTTGCACAAAAACTTGTCTGAGTAAGGCATATTATTTCTATTGTTTATCATAATATCTGAGTATTCTGAAGCTATGCAAGGATGAACATTTGGTAGCTACTGCATGAACTTTGGTGAATTAATCGAACTTCAAGTGTGGAGTACTTTCTCTGTGGATATATAATATGGGTTTCCAGACTACAAATAAGGGTGGAGCTTCACCCTGGGATTTTATTGTATCATCTCAAACGTTTTTTTGTTTTTTCCCAAATCATCAGTGGGTTATTTATGAATGAAATAGAGTACTTTTTTATTGTTATTAGTTGTCTGCTAAATTCAGTGTACCGTTTATTTATTTTTAATTTATCTTGATCTTATTGTTAGTAGCTTTAGTACTTTTTCCATAATGCAATACAAAACTATAAATTTTCACACAGCTTCACATCTCAATGAAGTTGCTGGAGAATGTCACACGTGTCGTGAAAAGGTAAAATCTCTATTCATCGGGAAGTACTGTGTTCGTTTTGGATCGGATATTCACCAATTTTGCTCCAATACATGTCTGGAAAGGTATAAAACGAAGATCAAAGTATGCTGTTACTGTCAAAAGAATCTTGAGAAAGTACAAAAACTTACTTCAGTGGCAAATAAAGTAAGTGTTGACTCTTTTTAGTTTTCCTTATTTTAGACTGATGTGCTGACAGGATAGAGTTGGATAGTTATGTAGCTCTAATGGAAAATGTTTTGTTATCAGACGAGAATATAATCTTTGTTTTTTTATGTTTTGTTTTGCTGTGCAGTTCACTTGGTAAAGTATTACTGTACTGTATGTGATGCAAGGAATCCATAAGAAAGACAAATGAAACTTTTAAAATGGTTAGCCATGTGAGGATTAAGAGACTTTGATTACATTTTGTCTTGACAGTAAAACTAAACTGGCTTATTTTTCTCATCAAATTGTAATAAAATTTTCTCATTAATATCACATGGGAATATTTCATTGATGTTATATACTTCTTTTTTGTGCAGGAATATTGCAGTATGAAGTGTCTAAAGCGAGCACAGAGGAGGGACATAGGCCAACAGAATTATTGTGAACAGCATTCTTGTACAGTGTGTCAGACAGAAGGTGTAAACCGATATGAGTTTATGTCAAATCAAGAGCCTTACCAACTCTGTTCTGATCCCTGTCTTAATGTTTACAAATATGTCAACAGGGTCAAAGCTGGTAAGTGAAAATTAGTTAGTTTTACACAAGAAAAAAAGAGAGAGAGAGAGAGCACTGACTCACATCGGGGCCTGGGGGGCAAAAATGTAATAATTATTCATAGTAATTAAAATTTGTAATAAAAAGTAAAATGAAATAATGATAATGATAATAATAAAGAACTAATGTATAAAGAAAAAAATCAATAGTGAGAAACACTATTTGGATGCTGTGTTGTCAAGTACGAGAAACACTTGAAACCTGCAATGTAAATGAGGCAGAGAGTCAGATGAACTACCTGGGACTTGGTCACATATGGCAGCAGGGTCTACCATTAGCCAATACATTATGCTTCCAATATCTTCCCAGGTGGTAGTACCTCCCTGTTTGGTAGCTGCCTACTGCCTAAGGTTACTCATATTCCCTTTCATATATAGTATGAGATTTCTTATTTTTTATTTTCAGTTGCCTGCTGCTTGTGTTTCCGTGTGTTGAATGCAGAGGATGTGTGTCACTACCTCTATCATGGAGGGCATCAGCTACGAGTCTTCTGTTCAGATTCCTGTGTTAATGTCTTCATTCTTTCCGCTCGCAAAATTGTCGTTTGTGATACTTGTAAGGTAAGTTTGCATTTTAAAAGGTTTATATTTAATGCATAATATTTTCTTTACAGTTGCAACTCCCTTTATATAGTTGGTTGGGTCATAGATTCTTAATAGTAAAATGGGAAAAATTTATTACAAGGGAAGTCTTTTTTTTTTTATGCCTTACTCCTTATTTGTGTTCTAGGGTGAATATAAGTACACTGTATAATAATTCAACTACAAAATGTGTTTTATTAACTTCAAGAGTAAAAGTTCTGAAAATTGTAAAGGGAAGAAATTATTACAGACTATGATTGAAGCTCAGTTGTCACACCCAGACATGGTGTTAAGCAGAGGGGCCTAGTAACAAAGCAACAGTATTGGCACTTTGTTACTTAACCCATGTAACATTCTTGATTTGAGTTCTTGACATTTTTTGGTACTCTTACTTGCTGCTTTCCCACCTGCATTATTGTGATTGGCTGGGACAATATCAGGTATCTTTTGCTATGTTCTGAGTGGTTTATCCAAAGTCACCCCTTGGTGGGCAATTCCAAATGTAACAAGACAACTTGTACAAAAGTAACAAAGTAGAAGTATATAATATTTAAGCTGAAAAGTTACTCGGGTAAAAGTACAGTGGCCCCTCGGTTAACGAACTCAATCCGTTCCAGAAGGTCGTTCGTTAACCGAAACGTTCGTTAACCGAAACCATTGTTTCAATGGGTTTTTGGGTAATTGGTTCCAGCTCACCGAAAATTTCCTAAATTCAACAAAAATGGTAGAAAAGTTCACTTACTTTGAGGTGTGTATGTAGAAGGCTCCTGGATGATGATGATGATGATGGGATTTAGAATGGGGGTGGAGGAGAAGGAAGAAGAGAAGGCATTGGGGTGGAAGAGAAGTCACCCCATGGTGCCATTTCACCCATAAAATTTTAGCTCTCTGGTTTAATTCAAGATTATTTTCTTTAAATCAACGCTGCACTGCATTATATATTGTCAATATATAAAATATATTTCAAAATGACCAATAATTTGCTTGGAAACACAGAAAAAAAGCGTTTAGTTGAAGAGAGTCTCAAGCAAGATGTTACCTCCAGTGAAAACAGAGAGAGACTGACGCCTGTTTGCTGTGTAAAGAGGCTGGATGCCGCGCATTAAACTAGTCACTTTACCTTCAATTTTGTTCAATAATTGTTAAAATGACTAAAAAATTGAATATTAAACTTTTAAAATTATTGAATAGTATAAACTTCTTGATATTTACAAAAATAGTAAGGAATTTAAGCCCTAGAACCGATTAATGTATTGGCGGACTGATACTAAAGCTGGTTGCCCTGTCAGTGCAAGCGAAAACATGTTGAGGTCGGTTCGTAAGAAGTTCGTTAAGCGAATTTTTTTTCGTTAACCGAATTGAAGATCCTTATGGAAGGCAGTTCGTTAATCGAAATTACGTTAACCGAGGTGTTCGTTAAACGAGGGGTCACTGTACAAGGAAGTGAAGGTCTTTTAAACGCTCAAATTCTCCATTTCTTGTAGCAGTCATTACAATGCCATGTGTGATGCGGCATTACTCTGCTGTATTGTGTGTACTGTACCAGTGCCTTGGGTTAAACCAAATACTTCTGTATAGGGTTTTCCACCCAGCAGTTTATGGTAAATGGTAAAAATATTATTTTTTTATTTATTTTTTTCATAAAAGGAAACGTTTAAGTAAATTTTTTTCACTTGCAGGTGAAAAAATACAACTTCGACATGATTCACCGTCAGGTAGATGAAGACTTCAGAGATTATTTCTACTGTTCATTGAATTGCCTTAACACCAAAGATTTGTCTCCTTTGTAAGTATCCTTATTATAAAGCATCTTCTGAGGACCTTATACAACCTATTTGTATTGCAAGATAGCAGTTGTTATGGACGTGCAGAAAACAGAACTGTTGATAGATGAAAGCTCAGTCATACATTTAGTGTAAGAATACAAAAAGAGAGTTGGTGAAAGCCAGTACAGGTTGTACCTCTCTAGTCCGGCAACCTCGGGACCTGACCGGTGCCGGACCATGGAAATTCACCCTTTTCCTGGATATATAGTGACTTGTGCTTACGCTTGGAAGCACTTGCACCACTTTCTCTGCTTCATGGTCTCTTTGAAGACATATTGAAGGGTTAAATGTTGTACAGTAGCTTCTCAAATTTTGCGAGTTTTTAATTCAACGTTTTTTATTGGAACACACACACAAAAAAACAATTACAAATTTTGACGGCGGAAACTCGAATTTCGACGGGTTTGAACGACTCACCAACGTTCAGACGACGTGCACAATCGTGTAAACAGCGTCATTTCTCTTATGTAGAAAGGATTCATTATTGTTTATTACTGAATGTCTCCTTGATTGAATTAATGCTTATGTGTGCAAAATGAGCAATACAATTCAATAATAATACGTAGAATATTAAAACACACGAGGAGACGAGACGGCTTTGTTTTCGTTGTTTACAAAGCCAGTGACTGACTGGTTCTACATATAAAACTGAAGAAAATAAGACCCTGGTTGTAGCTGTAGTAAAATTAATATGGTTGTTTTAAGTAATGTTATTTAATGTTAATAAATGGAACAATAGAAGTAGTTAACAATAATGGTAAAGAAAAAAAAGAGATCGCATATGTAAGTGCGCACATGTGAAAACATATCGTCATTACTCTATATGAGAATATGAAAGCAACACTTATTTACCGTTCATATATATTTTAATTAATGTTTTTGAATTTTTTTTATTGAATTAATGTTTGTTTGTGCAAAATGAACAATACAATTCATTAATAATACGTGGAATATTAAAACACACGAGGAGACGAGACGGCTGCCGGCATTGTTTTCGTTAATGCTTACAAAACCAGATTGGTTCTACATATAAAACTGAAGAAAATAAGACCCTGGTTGTAGCTGTAGTAAAATAAATGTAAAAAAATTAATATGGTTGTTTTAAGTAATGTTATTTAATGTTAATAAATGGAACAATATAAGTAGCTAACCATTAATGGTAAAGAAAAAAAGTGAGACTGCGCGTATGTAAGTGTGCACATGTGAAAACATATCGTCATTACTCTACAAAAGAATATGAAAGCAACACTTATTTACTGCTCATATATATTGAAGGGTTAAATGTTGTACTCTGTATCGACAAGCAGAGAGAGAGAGAGCAGCCGAACTGCCGGATGTAAACAAACCTTAATTTCCCGCGGCTTTGGTTTTTTTTTTTTTTTCGGGGATTAGCCCACCTGGGCATAGGTCACTGACCCACATTGGGGCCTGAGGGGCGAAAATTTAATACTCCGGACCACGGGAGTTTGCGGACCACAGAATGCCGGACTAGAGAGGTACAACCTGTATTACATTTTAAGTACGCATAGTACCAGTCATCTGACACGCATGAGATCTGGGGGTTGCCGGCTAGGTTTTTCTGGAATGAGGAGCATCAGGACTAAAATGTACAGTAAACCCTCTGTAATTGGCTGTGAAGCCTCTGTTTGGATCATTAGATTCACCCTTAAAAGTAGCTTTAACTATAAAGTGTGCTGCAACATTAAAGCTTAAAAATGAAAGCATATAAATGTCAATAACAAAAGCATCTAATTAGCATTAATGAAAGCATAGAAAGAGTAAAACTGATGCAAGTTAGAGTTCAAGCTGTGTTGTAATTGCCCATGATGCTCACCTTAGCAACACAGTAGTGTTCCTAGCAGTAATGCTCAGCGCTGCTGACCCTCCACACACTCCCCACACAGCTGTACAGTAGAAACCCATGAATATTTAAAACTTTATCCCTTATGATAATTATTTCTTTTATTTCTTTTTTACATTTTCTCGATGTGGTATTTTGTATGGATGTACTTCACCTGGGTTAAAAAAAGAAGAAATTTATGTGCATATATCTAGCCAAAATTACAAGTTGAAAAGTACTTTATACCATATGATAATTACCATTTTTGTATACCTCATAAGATTGAGTGTGTATGTAACTCGTAAATTTTTTTTACGTATATCTACCCAAAATAATGAGTTAAAAAATAAACATAACATACAGCTCACGGGAGGGAAATAGTTGGAAATATCCCCGCCCCAGAATTACTTGACGCTCATTTTAAGTTATTAATTCCATTTTTTTGGGAGGGCGTTCCGGACACCAGGACACTGGATAAATAGTCTCATACTAGTAGTTACATCAATGGGCCACTCTGTGACTGTCCTCTATTTAAAGTCATCTTGTAAATTTGGAGATTTTTTGTGTGGCCATCTTTGCATGGAAGGTGAGATTCTTGAGGAACAGGATTTCAAAGATGTACTGTACAATGTGAATATTATTAGAATGCTTCCACTGTTTACACAGGTGGATTTGTTTAATAACACTGTCTGTTCATATGGTACCTCCTTCCCATCAAAGTGTGTCTAGTGTGTTTACAGGAGTTCATGAAAGTGTCCCTATAGGCTACAGTGTACAGTAAAGTAATTCATATTGTTGTTTCAAGCTGTTTGCTTTATTTTTGCACTTTTTAAGGTATTTCTAGTTTTTGGACATTGACTTGTTCTGGCCAATTTGTGTTTTGTAAAATCAAATTCCTGTATAGTCTATGATATGCAACTTGAATCAGATTATCTCTTTTCAGGACAAAAAATAGCACCAGCAGTGATGTTTCCTCAACAACCACAACAACAACAACCAACAACACAGCATCAACCAATTCCTCTGATGCCCCAATCACCCCCTGTAACATGTGCAATAATATGGCTAAAGCTCAATACCACATGGTCATGTCAGACAATACGCTTCGGAGCTTCTGCCGGTACGCCTGTGCTACCAAATACAAAAACACTTATGGCTTCCAAGTGAATGGAATACAGACAGACTCGACACAAAATTCCACTGCGTTACCGCCTATAAGTAAGTCTTCTTCTTACTCTACCGTTGCTGAGAATGTTTGTCAAGCTAGAATGTATGGAAGAGCCATCTATATACAGTATAGTACAATTAGTAACTAGTACGTATAGTACAGTACAGTACTGGATATGATAACACCGTTTTTCATCATACTGTATAACAAAAGGCCCGCTATAACCACCATATCCTCAACTCACTAACATATTGTACAAAATATGATTAATCTCTGCAAATTTATGTTTAGAACAATGTTTCACTGAAAATTTTCCAAATTTACTCTTTAAATTAGTGTAACATAACTCCTGTTATTACACATTATGGTATTACTCAACTTTTTTTTTATGGGAAGGTTTATTTAACTTATCAAGTAAAAAACCCCAGTTATTTTGAGGATTTGATCTCTTCATTATGGGGATGGATCTCTTAATATTATATCTGGCAAACTCCAGACTACAGTATATTCAACGCAGAAGGAAACCCAAACACAGGAGTAAACTGAATTCTAGGGTAATGTTTACAGTGCAATGTTTACAATCTATGATGTCCATCAGAACATAACCTCACAGATTAGACAGAAAGTATTGCATTAATGTGTGCTCTCTCTCTTACAGCTTAAAGTTATTTATAAATTTTGTGTCAGAGACAGTTTTCCATCAAATAGCTGCCTGGTCTGTAGAAAATTTAATTCACTCATTGTTCATACATACTGTATGTTTCCCCAAACACCCCCATCATAATCCTACCTACAGTACTCAAGTAGTCTAGTCTTCTTTATCTTTGTTCTCTCAGCAAAGGATAAAATTGTTTCACATAAATTAATAAATTTAATAGCAACAGCTGCTGTCTTATGAATGATTCACAAGCGTGTCTTTTCAATTTTACATTTGCATCTCGCTGTGGAAGTGTTTGTTGTCAAATGTGACTTAATATTGGATCTTTTGCTCCCTTCCTGGTACTTCTCCCTGTTTCCTTTTGTACTTTGTGTATATAGCAACTTTCATCTTCCTTGTTGCCTCTTCCCATTCATTACGTGCAGAAAAAATGGGAGAACACACGATAATTTAGAAGACATTATATAATGCCAAACTCATATAGGCCTTATATGGCTGTATTGTCTTGTGTGCATAAAGTATTCTTCTTGTATGTCACTTCCTTTTAATTTTTAAAATTTTTGTAAATTCATCCCCTTTTTTCTGAAGTCTGTTACCACAGTAGATTTTTCTCATATTTAGGCAAGAAAAGAAATGCAGCCATTTATTAATCTGATATTATTAGTAGCCAATTTAAGTTAATATTTATAATTCATGTTTTGTGTTATGTTAGAAATATGTTAATTGTGATACTTGTTGTAATTAAATAGATTTTACTGAGAATATATTTATTATGTAATTCATATCTTCTTATAGGACCAAAACCTTCCACCCAAGTGACTGCCACTATATCAGCTCTGCCATCTGGGAATGAGGCCACAATTCAGGCTAAGAAGAATGCAGTCAATGATGTTTCTCAGGAAGTTGTCAATGTAAGTGCATGTACAGTACTTTAAAGAGTAGCAAGTGTGTGAATGACTGGAAGTATTGAGTTGGTTGACTTGTAAGGGATAATAAATCTTCTGATGGTGGGTAATGCTTGACTATGTGGTGCCAGGGATATACCTGATAGGTATCTTGTGGCATTGTTGTGGAAAAGGATCAGTGTAACAGAACACTTCGGTTATGGCTTGAGTCAGAATTCATGATAGCAGGTGTAGGGAGGTAGTGGCCACTTTGTAACATGACGGGTAAAGGCTGGCAACACGTAGAGAAATGTTGCTCGACCTTAATTAGTAGTTGTGTGTAAAAACCCGGAGCACATGTCGGGGGCGACTAGTCTTGACCTTATACTACAACAAAATGTTCTGATGTATGGAGACATGTCGAGGCCTCTCTGTAGTAAACACATGTATTATTATGAATGAATCACTCTAGAAGCTACCGCATGTGTAAGGTGATTGGTAGAACCATTTAGCATCAGTAAAACTGCATGTCTCTTTTTAATACACTACTAGAAGCCCATTACTGATGAAGATATATGAGGAACCAATCAAATAGAGGTGAAATGATAAAACATGAACACAAGTTCGAAAAGCAGGAAGGATGTAATTAATATACAGCAATCGGAAAAAAATATAATTGGCATCACAGCAAATGGGAGGACACGGGTGGTAACCAGTGGTTTTGTATCATCTTGAACCTTGAGACACTTATATAATATTTGACTTAATTAAAATACTGGTCCCAGAAACATGTTCATATTCATTTGTAACTTATGATCAGAGAAGGCAGGTATATCCCCACATACTTTTACACATTCAGTGTGACACGTCATCAAATCAAGATGTTAAGGGAGCCACCCCACAAAGCATCACATAACAACACCAGTACAAGGAATGGGGCATCACTCTGCAAGGGTTGCTGAATGAGGGAGGATGGTGGAGATGAGCGAGGTTGACTTCTCTCTTGATGGAATAGCAGCCGAGCTTGGCCTTCACTGAGCGACGGTTTATCGTTGGCCCCTAAGAGGTGGGAGGAGGATGGAGACCTCAGAGACCAGCAAGAAAAGCCACTGCTGCTGAGGACCAGCGCATTAGAGAATACGTTGAGGGGAATCCATTCAGCAACACTGACAGTAAGAGAGCGTCTGCAGCTTGGTGTTTCAGCATAGACAGTCAAGGTTACACTTTCCTCCCCAGCCTGTCTCTCCTGTGCCTTACCAGGTGCCATCTTGTCCCCAGCCTGTCTCTCACCAGACTCCATACTTCCTAAATTTTCACGTCTAAACTGATGGAAAGAAGGGATTTCTTGGGTACAGTAGCAGCAAGATGCTTTCCAGGCATTTTTTTATTTTATTTTTCAAATGTTGAGCTGAAAACGTGACTGAATTTTGCTGAGTTAGGAACGTGTGAATGGGGTGGACATCACACTGGTGAGTGCGAGATTCAAAATGACTCTATATCACACTTCAGCGACTTAAATAAAATATTGTTCGTTAAATATTAAACAATGTTGTTTGGCACGACATAAATCAGCGAATGCCTGTACTAATGTTTTTACTAGGCAAACACTGGCTGAAAAGAGACACTTGAGTATATTACTTAAATAACCTGGTAACCTAGTGTGTGACCCCTTCACTCCTCCTCAGCCTACGTCTGGTTCGTGCCTTCCTCCACAAACGTGGAGATGAGGAGCGACGAACTGGTGTGGGTTAGGGTGGAGTGCCATCCCTCTATACTTCTTAATAAGGAACTAGGTATTGCAGCTCATTATGGATGAACATGGACTGCAAAATATAAATACCATACAGTATGTCATAATATGAAGCACGCTCAATCTATAAGCATGTGTCGTAGATACTAATATAAGCAACAGTGACTTGAATATAATATACTGTATATATATATATATATATATATTAGCTGTACAGTATAGAAGTCAGTAGGAAACCAATTTTTCATTCTCCCATTTGGTAAAGCAGTCATAACAAACCCGTCTTCACATGGTGACAAATAATTTAATCCGTCACTTTGTTTTGAAGGGCGAGGGGACATTAAACCACTCCAGTTACCCCTTGCATCCTTCAGTTTTCTACGATGCCAAAATTTTTTTGTTGATTACTGTATATTATCACAATCATGTTTTTTGAACTTGTATTAATTTTTTATTAAAAATTCCTTACATGAATGTTTTCACATTTCTTAATCAGTAACAGGCTTCTAGTTACTTAATTATATAAGGGAGACATGTGGTTTTCCGATGCAAAACACTGTACTTCTGCCAATCAGAGCACTCAGAAATGTTACATGTAATGTCTCTGAGCAATTCATTTATAATAATACAGTACGTGTGTTTACTCTGGAGAGATTTCCAGATGTCTCCATAAACCAGAACATTTTGTCTAGTGTCCACTTGGCTGACTGTGCCCCCCAAAAAATATAAATACAGTCATGCGCCGGTTAATGTCCTAGATACGTTCTTGGAAACGTGATGTTAACCGAAATGGACGTTGTCCGAAAGTACAGAAACCTATGGGATTTATTCTAATTGGTTCCAGGCACCCAACCCCAAATTTCCCATTTTACGGCCATTTTGACCCACTAAATATATATATAATGTTCTGGTAAATATCAGAAACACACATAGGCATGACGAGGTTTTTTACAAAGTGATGAAAAGGATACGCTCAGTACTGTACAGTGGGTAGTCCACAAAACATGTAGTCATGTCTCTTTATTTGAGTGCCCCGTCTTAGGAGTCTTTTCTCTCACTTCAGGATGCCTGAGTTCTCCGTTTTCTCTCTTAATCTTAGAGTGCACCAGAGACTTCGTTATTCCTTAGTAAATCCACAGAATTTGAAATTGCAACCCCAATTGCAACTGGGGTTGCAATTGTTGTTATCCAACTAGATATGTCTGATTACAGCAAATGTGTTATTGTCAGTTTGTAGGTGAAAGATTTTATCCTCAATAGATGTACTGTAGGTTAACATTACACCTGGTGGCAAATGCCTAAGGAAGGAAGGATATTCCTTTAACACATAATATCTGGCCAGTATGGGGAGGATCATCGTGTCTGTCGGGGTCGTGGAGTGGTGGTCCAGCAGGCGTCACAGAAGTGTTAGGGGGGGGGGGGCACGGACGTATATGCGATCGGACGTTGTTCGGTTGAACATTAACCGGCGCATGACTGTATATACCTTTACGCTGTTGGCTGGGCTGCTGCTCAAGCGTAACATGTGCTTAATAAATCTAATTGCGATTGACAGTATCTGACAGTTTCTCATACCCAACTTTCCATAACCAATAAATAGCCGAAATTCTTATTTATACAGTATAAATATTGCAATACATACTTAAATAGACCAAGCTAGATAGATACTTTCAATGCATTCAGTCTCTTATGCCTAATAAAGTATCTTCTGATTTGTATCCAATTATCATCTTATGTAATGTATATATACTGCATATATATGTACTGTATATGTAAGAACTAGTTGAGAAAATGAATTTAACAAGAAGTGAATTCATCCAATTCTTGTCCTGGATTTGTTCCTCAGTTTGTGATGAATATCAAATTTAAATGGGTAAATTTACTTTGCTCTCATTAACTGATGTTAATGAATGTTTGATGTAAATCTTTTATTATTTCACCACGTTAAGGTATACAAGAAGATGCATACTTAAATATTGAAAACTTTACTAAAGTATTTAATTTATACTGTACTAGTCTGAGACAGTAGTTGGCAACTCTTCCCATGAATCAGACCAGGACAACACAACCACTCAGTGTGGGACAGACAGGTTGAGGGGGCCCAAGAGTTTGATCCCCACAAGAAAGCCTACACCTGGCAGGAAGAGGGACCCTGTTTGGGTTTCCTTTGAAAGAATAGCGAAGGGAACAGGTTTCCGAGCTATATGCAAGAGTTGCAAGAAGGATATGCAAGGATTTGTTCACACAATGAAGAGGCACTTGGAGGTCTGCAAGAAATCATCCTCTTTTCCAAAAGGTAATGTATTTTGCATTTTATATAGTAGTATTTCACAATGATTTGCTTCTTCGTAGAATGTAATACATGTATAGTATACTGTATATTTAAACCAATTTATCTTACAAAACGAGTGCTTACACCTTTTCACTTTATATCTCTCATTTCGTCATGTGTCTCTTAAAGCCTGATATTCTTAAATATGTGGATGATAAATTCTACATTTTTTAACTTTTCTTGATGTATCCCAAATATTTTGAAGCAGTAAAATGCACTTTACTGTGTGATGTGACTGGACATATAACTTATTTGTGCTTTGCATCTTTCAGATATTGAAAACTCTGATGACACAGACAAGACTCGACTACCCCAGCTGTGTACATCTTCAGCAGCACGTATGGCCTCATCTGCAACAGAAAATTTGAATCCACCAACTTCGCCAGAACACATATCTCCACCACCAGCAAAAGTGGCACGAAGAGACTTAGATCAAACTAGCTTAAAGGGTTATGTTTTTACAACCAATAAAAATGAAAAAGAAATCCTAGACAAGGAAATAGCTAATTATATTTATGCCACTAATTCACCATTTCATACTGTAGAACACCAACAATTTATCAAAATGATAAGTAAACTAAGACCAGGATATGTACCACCAAACACGAAGCAGGTCGGGGGATACCTTCTTGAACAGTCATACTCGAATGTACTGGAACAATATGCTGCTGATTTGAATGGCAAAACTGTGTGTCTAGCAATAGATGGTTGGAATAATGTTCACAAGGAACCAATAGTGTGTGCAAGCTTAGCATCAGAAGGTAAAATATATCTTGTTAAATCAGTGGACACAGAATCACAACACACTGTTAAGTATCTTTTGGAAATCGCTGAAGCAATTGCCAAAAAATCTGAAGAGAATTTTGGGTGTTATGTAAGAAGCTTTGTGATTGATAATGCTATAGATATGACAAGAGTGCGTAGAGATCTGGGGAAAACAGATGA